CAGCAACAACAATCTAATGTTGGCGCGTGCCGATATCGAATGGAATGCCCAATCGGCTATGCCGATGGGGATTCTGATGCCGATGCTAATGTCGATCTCGATCGCCACACGGCATCCACTCGATCGCATTCAATAACACACGCCGTTGCGGGCAAAATAAAAATGATTGCAATATTTCGCGAGTGTCACAGTTGGCGCCAAGGCGTTGCGCGTTTTCGCATCAACTGGCCCGGGCATGTCCCCATGATAAATTTCGACAGTTTATTGCCAGCCATATAAGCGCATACATCCGTGAATACGGGTCTAATCATAGAAATTGGCCAACAGCATATTTATAGGCACAATCAGTCTGCAACAAAGAGCATATGCTAGAGACAATGTTGCAAGGTGCCACCTGCCTTTTTTGAAATAATAATATAATTTCCATTTATTTTGTTGCAGCAACCTGCAATGGAGTGCAGTGCCTGAATGGCTTGACCTGTGTGGAGGACCAAAACATGACTCCGCATTGCATCGCCTGCCAAATCGAGTGTCCCGAGGACGACCTGGATGACGACAACTACGATGCCAAGCAGGCCGTTTGCGGTGTGGATGGGCAGACATATAGGAGCGTTTGTGATATAAATCGGATGATTTGCAAAATTGGACGTTCCATTGCCGTGGCATATCCGGGACCCTGTCGAGGTGTGTATTTATGCTCATATGAATATTCGTATGTTATTTTGGCAACAGCCAGTCTGGGAAAATCAATCAAATTAATTGGTATGGAAAGGCTTGTTGCAGTCGGCAAATTGTTGCCTGCAATTGCACTGAAATAGTAGTTGTTGCTGCAAGTTGGGTAGCGGCTGTGCAAATTTAACAACAATCAACAAAGAACCGCAATTTTGCATTTGATTGACTCGACTGAGGTTTCCAGCCTGCCAGCCAGCCAGCCAGCCGGCCCAGCAAGCCAAGTTAAGGCGAATTGAATCGAATAGCGTCACAGCCACAAGTGGTTGTTGCTGTTGGCTGTTGATACACTGCAACATAGGTGATATCCCATGCCAAGAACTATTTATATTTTATTTTAAAAATCATGTAGCTTTTCTTAAAGTGTAGCATGTCGTTTTGCTGTCTGCAGCCTGGCCATATCAAGTTGCTTGGTGTCTCGGTGTTTGACTGAAATTGCTACATTTGCTTATACGGCTCCGTGATTGCCAGCAATTTGATTAGCCCGTTGCTGTTGCTGTTGCTGTTGGTGGTGCGGCTGCTGCTCCACTTTGGCTAGCTGCTCATCCATCCACAATTACAGCAAACACTCGCGACGTCGGCATCATTCATGCTTATTAATTTTGTGGTCGCCATCCGATTGATCGGCTCCGATTTCCAATTAATTATAATGCCCCTCATCGGCCCACGTTGGATGCGATGCCGGGCCGGGCCAGGCCATGGTAGCAACATCTTGGTGGCAATAATTTGCACATACATGCCCCCTCGAGGGCGTGGAGGGCGTTCCGCTGTCGCACCAAATCCGGAGACGAACTCGAGAACGCCGTAAAGACCATGTGCTGAAAACTAGTTTAGTGTGCCAAAGGGGGGAGGGGGGCCCGGTGGACTGCAATTGCCTGTTAATTGCAGTCTTTTGCCACAAATTGCAGCGTGCAGTTAATGCGAAAACAAAAGCCGGCCATCCAGAAGTTGTTGCAGCTGCTGTTGACAAAATTCCCCATATTGGCCAGTCTGTGCTGGCCGGCACTGTTATTATTTATCAATAATGTATCCTCCAGTTGGCCCAAATTTGCATGATAGACCCCAGGACTATGGAATATATAACGTGTAGCCTATTCAAGAGTTAAGAGGCCTTCGAATATCCATAACTTATAGGGTAGGAACTTCCGGTCTAGAAATCTTAAAATTGAAAGGGAATATCCTTGTTGTACATTCATGGATAGCTTATTCATCAGAACTCTGGAGTAATCTCTCTTAACGGTAGCCGGATTCTAAAGTTAATTAAGATCATTAGCTATTATTCACTTTTGCTTTTAGCCAAGCCACGCAACTGGCTAGCCCCTTCCCGATAACCAAAGTGGAGAAAATATGAAGTGTGCGTGCGTCTGCGCAGTTTGTTGATCTCCTGACCAGGCCCGATCCCTAAGCCTCCTGGACTCCTTCCTGCTGCTTAATGTGCGTCTGTTACTCGTTATGTTACCTGGATCGTCTGGCGATAAGATAATGCTAACGTGCGCCTGTGTTGGTTGCTTTCTGACCATTTTATCTTCATGGTTAGTAAGTTTATGGTTCTCGGGCATTTGTTTGTTTGTCTGCTTTCACATAAATATGCTTTTTTTTCGCTGTTGTCTGGCCCGATCTCCGGGTAAATGGGGTGGAGGGGGGGGCAGGAAGGTAGATTCGGTTTGGAGCTCCGGCACAAGCCACGAAAAGTTGCCGTTGGCCCCAAGAAATATGACTACACGTACAAACCATTAAAACGCCATTTTCGCAACGGCGACGCAGGTTCTGTGATTGCAACTGCCAGGAGTGGAGTGTACAATACAGCCCCGTCCGGTCTGGTGTCTGGGGTGTCCGGGTGTCCGGCTGTCTGGATGTCTGGCTGTCTCTCTGTCCAGTCGTCCCCCTCGTCCAGCTGTCCACGTCGTCGCAACGTCACTTTTGTCTGGTCAAGCGTCTGGCTCTTCTTCCTCTCGGCTGCTCTGTAGTTTACGATCGTATTAAAATCACCTTAAACAACACGCAATGCCAAACTGGCCACACAGAGAGAAAAATTGTATTAGAAATTATAAACATTATTAGGCAGATTCTTGAGGAATCTGCAATAATCATTAATATTTGATAATCTATTCAATTTCTTTTCCTAAAACCAATCAAAAAACCAAGATTTGTTACCAACATTTTTCTTTGTATGGAATTGGCTTGAATGGGAACGCACGAACACGCGGCCAGCATTGAAACTGGGATATATACATATATATGACCCGCAACGCATCCCTATATATGCATGTACTACCCATCCCATGCCACACAATGTTGCAATAAGTTCCGCCAACAGCCGCCGGCGTTGATTAAACCACGTCGACATAACAAATTGTAGTTGGCTCCCCCTGTGACGGCATTATCAGCCATAACCACCGATGCTGCTGGAGCTGTAGCTCCCGCTCTGGCGGCCACTGCCACATCCATCACAATCAACAAGTTGGGGGGGGGGTATGGGACGACGGAGGGCATGGGCATAAGCGGGAGACGGCGAAGGAGGAGGAGGAGGCAAGGCCTCGCACAAAGGACGTATCTGCCTAAAGCTAAATTGGCAGTTGAAATTAATAAACTTTAACTGTTACGAATTGCTAGACGGCGGACTTTTACGCACCGTCTGGTGTAGAGATGCAGATGCAGACACCCAGACAGCCGCGGTCTCCCTTGGCATCCTCGCTACCACCTCCTTCGCCAGTGCCAGCGCCAGCTCCTCCATCTCCACACCTTCCATGAGCAATTGCGATCAACAATGCCCGGGGGCTCTCGCAACAATGTTGCCAAGTCGCAGATCATGTTGACGATAAACACATATATTGGCCGGCGTTTGCGGCTGCGCACCGCTTGGGTGCTCCATCCATCGTTTCACCATTCCACCACTCCACCGCTCCACTGCAAAACGGTTCCAACCTTGACTGGTTGCATATTGGCCCGGCCCGAAGATGCTACTCGTCTTGCGCATGCGCCGCGCACTTTGCTGAAGCAAAATTGCAGGGGAAGGGTCTGCGTCTTTGACTTCAAGCTGCACAGAAAAAAAAACTTATAGTTATAAATAAAGTTACGTATTTGGTAGTACTATTCTCAAGATAAACTAGTGGTTTTCATTAGAGTTTTATTGGAAAACCAATACTTTATTTCCTTTATAAAGTAACTCTATTTTTCTCAGTGTATTAGTGTATTAGTCTCGGTCTGTCTGCACCATTGCCTGTGGTGTGAATAATGTGTCAGTTTGCAAAATTGCAGTTTGTGCAGTTTCAGACGAGAGGCCAGAGCTCAAGTCAATGATCCATTGGGTAGCTTAACCTCGCATATCCTTCGGCTCAATTATGATAACTGTCATCGTAACAATTCGAAAGTTGTAAGGCTTTAAGATGAATTTTTAAATAGTGACTGCTTAGAACTCAAGCTGAGAAAGTTTACCGGCGCAGGTTACTGTTCCGTAATCACGGCAGCACCTGCGAAGTTCCCATGTGGGGTGGAACATTTTCCTGGGAGTGCAGAGGCCGTTAAACCGAAACTGCCGGACGTAAAATAAAAGCTGAAACTTAACCACAGGCAGCCGTCATTAATTCGCTTGCATCGTAAACTTTATATTGCAGCCGGACGAGTTAGTTGTGCGGACATCAAGTGTGGACCGAAGGATACCTGCCTGGTGGACTTCCAGACACGGATGCCGCGGTGCGTGTCCTGTCGCTACAAGTGCCCCAGAAAACACCAGCGACCGGTGAGTATACATATATATAATTGCATAATCCGTCAATCATTAATCCAATTTGACTTTGCAGACCCAAAAAATATGTGGTCACAATAACCACACATACAACTCGTGGTGCGAGATGCATCAGCACTCCTGCGAATCCCGATACTTCATCGGTGTCAAGTCCTCAGGCAGCTGTTAGGAGGGATATATTTTAAACATATATGTAGCATGCATATGTAGTCCGGGGCGCGCAACATGTAGTCGTGTTCTTCCGTAGTTCCAACATCCAAAGATTCTCGTTGTGCTGTAATCGGTGGATGGGCCTTTGGCTGTTGAGAATCGACAACCTAAGGCCACATTGGCAATATTGGATACATTTTACATATGGCAAAGTATTATCAACCATACAACATAACGTATTGCAGCAAACTCTTATCCAGCGCATCTATCGCAAGAGAAACCACATATCTTAAGAGGCTTTTGAATTTAAAATTATCATAGGCTACACGATAATTAATTTAAACAATCGGTTTGTATGCGCATTTCGTTCGCATTTAGTTTAGACACACCTATACGCGACGTCATATTTATTTAACATAATCTCTACTCTGTATTCTGACGTTCATAAGCGAAGCTAAATTAATTAATTGACTGATAGCTTAACCTTATAGCAAGATTTTTAATTAATATATATATTATATACATAGAGTCTTAATGTATATATACACTTACAATTATAAACACACACACACTTATGAATATGTTTGAGTAATTGTTAATTAAATGTGTTTCCAACTTAATTTCAAAGTTTGTCTTTTAATCATTTGAATAGGAAGTCGATACCTTAATTGCTATCGTCGGACTGATCGAAAATATCATTGGCGCGCTGGTACCGTTCCTGGGTGATCTTGAGGTTGGCCAACTTGCGTTTGTCCATAGGTCTGGAATGGACGGGATCGGTATTTCCCAAGCCACTGGTTCCCTCGTTGGCAACCACGTTGATCTGTTGAGACACAAATATTTCAAAAGTCCTTTTAGTTTATAAAACTATAGCTTACCGGTTCCAAGAGTCCTGCACTTGCATTAGTCTTGCCCAAGGTATTACCCTTTTGCCAGCCCATTTTGCTTAGCATCTTAAAGCCCTTATTGGAGTTGCCAATTTCACTAAAATAGACAAACAATTTAATGACTGATAGAAAGAATACGTGGTTTGTAATCTTACGTATTGACACAAGCCACTTCAGTCTTCTCCTTGTCGGTGCTACTGCCAACATTCACCCTTCTTGTGGCAGCTCTATCGTTATAATTCGAGTTGGACTGACCATTGCCCCCACCATCCACAAATTCTACGAGTTTTTAAATCAGATATTAGTTTTTATTAAAATTTCTGTATCTATGTAGTACTCACTTTCATTTTCCAATCCATACTTGCGCTGCAGTTTCTTCAGCTGTTCCTTGTGCGAAAGAGCAGTTCCAGTTGAAGCAATAGCAGTTGCCGTTGCCGGAGCATTAGTTTCAATCAGCAAGCCCGGCTCACACTGACCACAGGTGCTGTTGCCCTCGTGGACGTGACACAACAACTTGGTCTGGCCAATGCTTATCACACTCCCGTGCACCAAATCCATCGGAGAACTGGACATTTTTGATCCGTTGAGAATGGTACCGTTGCGAGAGCCCACGTCGTGGATCTTGTAGATGCACAGTTTTGTCTCGTAGTGGAACTTCAGATGGCACTTGCTAACGTTCACATCCGGAATTATAACATCATGGGAGCCCTCACGGCCTAAGGTGCCACCCTTGTAGGTAATCAAGTGCAGACTCCCCACTTTAAGGCCCTCCAAACTGGTCTCCTGAACAACAATGCGCAGCATGGGTGGATACTTTTTGGCGATGTCTGCAAGCAAAGACCAGAAGTAGTTTGAAATTCAAGGTATTCTATAAAAGCACCGCGATAAAAAGGCGGATCTCTAAAACCACCTTGGAAGCGTCCAGCGGACTTGAAGATAGGCACACTGCTGTCTTCGGTGTCGCTATTGCTGCTGCTACTATCCGATTCGGAATCGGAGCTTGAGTCAGAGGACTGCGACAGCTCTCCTTCTTCAGCATCATCCTTTTTCTCGCCCTGGCTGGTCCTGTCGTCATCGACATCCTTGTGACGTGATTTGGATTTGTGCCTCTTCTCCTTTTTGCTCTTTTTCTTGCCGTGTTTTTTGCTCTTCTTTTTCCGTTTCGCCTTTCGCTTGGATTTCTCAGCCCGATCCTTGGCCTTCTGCTTCTCGGACTTGATCTTCTGCAGGGTGTCCTGGTCGGTAATGACGCCGCCTTGCTCGTCGAACTGCACCTCGAAGTCCTCCTCGTTCTCCGCCATGGCCGCCGCCTCGTTAGCCTGCAACCAAGTGAAGAAAAGAAATCCGCGTTTTTATCGCACATTCTGGGCCTCGTTGCTTACCTAATGCATTGCTACGCATTCGGTCTATGCTGAGTTTGTGAAAATCAGCTAAAAGTCTACTATAGGCACAGGTGTTCGCTTGCTGCGCCCCAGAGAGGAGAAGAACGTTGTGATTAATCATCAGGTGGAATCGCTAGCGATCGATCCGGTCGGCCATACACCCACTCACCTGCACCTGGGCCTGCGAATGGAACTCAAACGAGTCCTTGGCATGGTCATAGCTGTAGTAACATCCCGTATTTCCATCGTAGTAAAGGCCGTATTCCTGGGTGATGAAGAGAGGGAAAGGATAGAGAGAATTAAGCTAACAATTCGTGGCATTGATGCAGGTTCGCTGGCGGCGATAACCCCTGAATGTCATTCGCTGCACCGCGATGCACCGCCTTCTTGCCGGAATAGAATGAAGCGTCATAAAGATTACGTCCGGGTTTATTGCTTATTTACCGCGTTATAGTAGTACCCCGTCTTGGGATCGTAGTACATGCCCGAGGTGGGCTCATAGACGAAGTTGTTTAGATTCTCGGCATGCTTCGCCGCCTGGCGCATCTCATCCACAAAGCTGAACGCATCTGTTGCCGATACTGGAAATGAAAATTAATTTTGGAAACTTTTTTCTAAACACATGATTGAGATTTTAATTCTACAAAAACACTGATTATTTTCAGCAATAAATACTGATTATAATATTATTACTTTCAAACACAAATCAGGTCAGACACATTAGATTTTTGTAAGGAAATGAGTTCACGACAATCCAGATAGTTGTGGGGCTCGTTTTGGTTTCTTCCCAAAATTGTAACTCTATCTCCCACTATTTTGCAAGCCCCTTATAGGGATTACTGGAAAGAATTATTTTGATAACGATTGCATTCTTGTATTTCGCTGACTTTCATTTCCGCGGATTTCGGACCTGGTCAACTTATCATTTTTCGACTTGAGTACCATAAATCATGGATCATGTCCGCCCACTTGTGCAAGCCTTACGTTGCAGTGGGCTTGCCGTACTATATTCCAGGGGTCTTCTAGGGGCAGTGGCGTTAGCCTATGTGACATTCCGGCGCTAATCTCGAGCACTAGCGGGCTCGGATGTTTGACGCACGCTTTATAATGCGACCTGGGACCCCAATGATAGAACTGTGGGTGGGCCAGGTATGCTAGATTCGCTCCTTAGGCCTTATCGTCGCTATGACAGCTGTTAGCTTGCTTAGTGGGGCTCAAATGGACAGGTGGATGGTTTATGACTTCAATTGCCTTTCAATAACATAGAGTCTTACAAAAAATATAAGAACGAAAGTGTTGTGCAATATCTGCACACCTATTTTTTCACAATCATGAGTAGAAACAAATATTTGAAAAACTGAAAGTCATTAAAAATTCCACAGAATTCATTAGTATTAAGTTTAAAAATAATCTACAATTATCTGTTAAATTTGACATTGTTATTCGGCCGCGTCCCAGCATCCCAATCTACAACTAGTGTCGATTATGTCGCCATACTCATTAATCTGTAGGGTGCCAAATCTGGAGCTATTGCCAGCAATTGACGATCCAAGCGATTAGCATATAGCGCAGTTGTGTTCGTAGTCCCAGAATCAGCAAATCAGCTACTTAGGTGTTTTTTTCGGTTTTAATTTGCTACGCAGCGGACGGATTGCAGTGGCAACAGTTGTTTCTACGTTTGGCGAACTGCATCGAATCGCCTCCAGCGGCTCTTATCAGGCCTGTTTAGTGTCGTCGCCGTGGACTGGCAGCAAGGCGCCTGGTTAGTCGTTACTCATCGTTCAAAGCAAGCGGTTACAACTAAGACAGTCAAGCAGTTTAGCCGAACAAAATGCTGGACGCGGAGGTGCGAGAACTTATGCAAGCCTTTGTGCTTAGCGATTACCAGGTGCAGGAGGTGTACAGCCGTTTCTGCCTGGAGGTGGCGCGAGGACTAAAGCGATCCACTCATCCCCAAGCCAACGTTAAGTGTTTCCCAACCTATGTCCAGGACCTGCCAACGGGCGATGAGATTGGCAAGTACCTAGCCCTCGATCTTGGCGGCACCAACTTCCGGGTGCTGTTGGTGTCGTTAAAAGGTCACCATGACGCCTCGGTCGAATCGCAGATCTACGCCGTGCCCAAGGATCTGATGGTGGGATCTGGCGTGGACCTCTTCGATCACATTGCCGACTGCCTTGCGAAATTCGTGGAAAAGCACGACATGAAGACGGCTTACCTACCCCTGGGCTTCACTTTCTCGTTCCCCTGCGTGCAGGTGGGCTTGAAAGAGGGCATACTGGTGCGCTGGACCAAGGGTTTCGACTGTGCCGGATGCGAGGGCGAAGATGTGGGTCGCATGCTACATGAGGCCATCCAGCGACGAGGAGATGCCGACATCGCTGTGGTAGCCATCCTCAACGATACCACAGGTACTCTCATGTCCTGTGCCCATCGCAATCCCGACTGTCGGGTGGGCGTCATCGTGGGCACTGGATGCAATGCCTGCTACGTGGAAGAAGTGGAGAACGTGGACCTCCTCCATCCCGATTTTAAGAGGACGAAAAAACAGGTTATAGTTAATGCCGAGTGGGGAGCTTTTGGTGAAGGTGGCCAGTTGGACTTTGTGCGCACGGAATACGATCGCGAAGTGGACGAGAAATCCATTAATCGGTCGCAGCAGCTGTTTGAGAAAATGACTGCCGGCATGTACTTGGGAAACCTGGTGCGCCTCGTCTTACTGCGGGCCCTCGAGCGCAAGCTAATCTTCAGGCAAAGCAGCCGGCGGCCGGAGTTCGCCACAGTCCTCCAAAAGAATCAGGAGGTCTTTGAGACCCGCTACATATCCGAGATCGAGGACGACTCTTTCCCAGAGTTTTCCAGCACAAGGAGCATCGTCAAGAAGCTATTCGGTATCGAAAAGGCCTCCGTGGAGGACTGCCAAACACTGAAGTACATCTGCGAGTGCGTAGCCAAAAGGGCAGCTACCCTGGTGGCTATTGGAGTAAGTGGACTAATAAACAGAACCTCTAACAAGAGCGTGGTGGTCGGCATGGATGGCTCCGTATACAGATATCATCCCAAGTTCGATGCCTACATGAGGGAAGTCCTGGTGAAGTTGGTGAAGTCGGACAAGGCGTGGGACATAATGCTATCGGAGGATGGGTCTGGACGCGGTGCAGCACTGGTAGCCGCTGTGGCCAGCAAAACCAAGTAGTCACTACTTAATAGTAAATTAGAGATTTTGAATATTAAAGCGCTTGACTTACACTCTTCGTTCTTTTCCTTCAAATCATCCTTGTCATCTTTAGACTTCTCTGTAGAGCAGTGGTCCGGGTTTTCCGATTCAGCGGTATCACTGGCCTGGTCGCGGACATTCTTCGTCTCCTGACTCAGCTGCAATTGTGGATAATGGTCAAACAAGATCTGGGACGCCTGTTGAGCTCGCTTACAAAGTGTCGCAGTTTTTGTTTATAAGCCGCCAATTTGATGTCATATTTGCGTATGATGCCGTGTAGCTTTTCTATGTACTGACGAAGTTGCTGTTCATCACAAGAATCCAAGTCCTGCTGCTTTTTCAGCTCGATGAAATCGTGTTCGCTGGAGGCCTCAGACGCCTCCTCTTCAACAGCGGACCCCGACATTGTTTATTAAATATCTTATTTTCGTAAATTGAAGATAAGGATGGCACAGATGTAACGACTTAAAATCAATCGATTGTATTTATCGATAAGTGGCGCCAGGGCTGAAATGTGAATTTTCTGCTACATCCAAATAATATTTCACAACCAATGATTACTTTGTTTTATTTTATATGTTTCAATACAAATATTTATTGAGTGAGAATTATAAATCAAGAAAATATACATTTTTATGCATTCGATAATAAGCTCCGTAAGATTGCATCATCTCTAGTTCGACAATCAGCTGTTTTCGGCAGCCGCATTTGTTATTTAACCAGCCACAATTTTACGGATCGAAATAGCTTTAACAATGAATAACTGTATGAAACTGCTCCCGGTGGCTGTCAAGTGCCAGCAGAGGACCATCAGCACAACCGCCGTCCTGGAGGGAAAACGGAACTTTCGCAAGTTCGTCGTCTACAACAAGCGAGGAACGCGTGTGGTAAAGGAGGCCCAGAGAACCATGGCCAACCCGCCAGTGCCCATACACAAGCGTGGAGTTCGCGACACAGGCATTAAAATCGACGGAAATTACATTGAGATCCCCGAAAAGATTCCGGAACTCATCGTACCCGATCTCACCGGCTGCAAGCTCAAGCCCTACGTCTCTTACAAAGCTCCGGACGTCGTTCAATCTGAATTCACCAGTCTGGACTTGTTTAATGCCATCTATTCCAAGAAGATTATAGAGGACTTTAAGGCGGGGACCCTGCAGGCTGATGGAAGTGCCAAGGAACCTTCCCCCAACGAGCAGCTTACTGCGGAAGAGGCATACCAGCGAGCTCGAAAGACGGGCACCGACATTTTCTAAGCATAGGTTTATTTTTGTTAAATACAGAGTCTAAAATCCACTACTCCTGCATGTACTTCTGGCGGTAATTGTATAGTTTGCGCAGCCACTTTTCGGCCTTCGCATCGGGATCGCCAAGAAACTGGAAAATTTGAAAAATGTGTTAATAGATAAATATATTTCTCAAGTGACCCACTCACGTTCGGATGGAATATTACATCTTCGTTTCGAACTGCCACGGCCGGTTTGTTGGCCACCGTCACTGTTTCTTTGTTGAGATCTATGATAACCTTCTCGGACGCTTCTCTCGAACTGAAGAAGCTCGCCGGCTTAAAGGCATCCTCGTCAATGGTCTCCAATGCCTTTTGAACCTTTGCGTCCAGCAAGTCGATGGGCTTAACCGCAGGAGCAGCAGATGCGGTAGCTGTTGTAGCGGGAGCCGATCGGGAGTTGCTCTCGGAACTGGGCGCCCTAACGGTTCTCTGGGATGTGGAGCGAGACTTGTGGTCGCGGCTCCGGCTTTTGCTGTGTCTGCTGCGGGAGCTGCTCCTGCTGCTGCGAGACGAGCTACGTGATGAACTTACGCTGCTGCTGCGACTTCTTCTGGAATACTTTTTCGACTTTTTTGACTTTTTCCTTTTGGATTTGGAGCTGTGGTGACTGCTCCGGGAGGGCGACTTGGAGCGGTAGCGTCTTTCACGGTCACGATCTCGATCCCGTTCCCTATCGCGCCCCCGATCCCGTTCTCTGTCCCTGTCCCGATCCCTTTCTCTGTCCCTGTCACGATCTCTATCACGTCTATCGCGGTCGCGCATTATTTAATAAATCTATTTGACTTAAATATTCCTAAAAGTGACGTTCGAGGAATACTAAGGTAATGAATTGCTGGTGGTGATAGTTTAATATTCGATTATTGTTCAAATCGTTATCGATTTTTAAATTTAAAATCAAATTTGAACTGCGGGCGCCAGTTTCTAATCGAGCGGTTACAACATTATGTTTTAAAAACTATTTTGTTTCGCACTTTACTGAAAAAACCCGTCCATGTTTATTACTTTATTTTTGAAAGTTTCATCTTAAAATAATGTCTTTATTTTAATTAACGAGAATTAAAATTAAAACAAAAAGTAATCCTGATGAGCCATATTATATTCAATTATGAACAATCAGTAGCTATCAAGATTCGTAGAATGATAATTGGAGTACCTGATAACTAAGCTAGTCAGCTAAATCAACCGGAATCGAAATTCCCACACCATCTATCAGTCTTGCCGAATCAAACGACGTTTGGTGGCAAAAATAAACAGCCATAAATTCGAGCAGCCAAATCTAAGACCCTTATCGGTACCTGGGGGGCATATAAAAGGCACGGGCGGCCAAATTGGTGGTCAAAGCACCTGCAGCTTCGAGCTAAAAAATGTTAGGACAGGCTATTGCGATTTTTCTATGTCTGGGCTTGGCAGCAGCCCTGCCAGCCGATTCTGGACGATCAAGCTCCGTGACAACGGTGAGAAAGAATTGGTTTTATCCATCTATATTTATTTATTCTGGAAAATGTCTTCTATTTTCAGGTGTCAATTGTCAAGGGCCATGGCTACCCACTTGAGGAGCACACTGTTCAAACCTCAGATGGCTACATTCTGACCATGCACCGAATTCCCTACTCCAAAAATACTGGCAATGATGGTGAAAGGCCTGTGGTCTTCCTGATGCACGGACTGTTGTGCTCCTCTTCGGATTGGGTCCTGGCAGGTCCTCATGCTGGTCTGGCGTACCTGCTCTCCGAGGCTGGCTACGATGTTTGGATGGGCAACGCCAGAGGCAATACCTACTCCAAGAAGCACGCCACAAAGTCTCCTCTTCTGCAGCCTTTCTGGAACTTTGAGTGGCACGATATTGGAATATACGACCTGCCCGCCATGATTGATTACGTCCTGTACTGGACAGGTGTAGACCAAGTCTCCTATGTGGGTCACTCCCAGGGAACCACCTCATTCTTTGTGCTTAACTCAATGGTTCCACGCTTCAAGAGTCGTATTCGCTCGGCTCACCTTCTGGCCCCTGTCGCCTGGATGGACCACATGGAGAGTCCTTTGGCCAAGGTGGGTGCCCCTCTCCTTGGACAGCCCAACGCCTTCGTCGAGGTGTTTGGCAGTGCCGAGTTCTTTGCCAGCACTGAACTGATGAACCTGTTTGGAGCTCTGGTCTGCAAAGATGAGGCAATCTCCCAGTTTATGTGCACCAACGTCCTGTTCCTACTCGGTGGCTGGAACTCCCCGTACCAAAACGAAACCTTGATTCCCGAAATCATGGCCACCACTCCGGCCGGCTGCTCGGTGAACCAGCTATTCCACTACTTGCAGGAATACAACTCGGGCTACTTCCGGCAGTTTGATTACGGAAAAACCAGAAATAAGAAGGAATACGGCATCAAGACCCCGCCAGAGTACGATGTTGAGACAATCGAAGTGCCCACCTATCTGTATTACAGCGACAATGATTACTTCGCCAGCCTGGTAGATGTGGATAAGCTCCGGTATACCATGAACCCAAGTGCTCTGAAGAGCGCGTACCGCTTGCCGGAGGAAAAGTGGAACCACATCGACTTCCTGTGGGGCCTGAATATCAAGGAAATACTTTATGATCGGGTCATAAATGATATTAAAAATGCATAAGCTTTCGCAGCCAATAAAGAAAAATACGATTGTGATATTAGGAGTTCAACGCAAAAAGTTCCACTCGTGACAACTTAATCAGGGGATTTTGAGGGTTAATGAGACGATAATATAGAAGTAGTCATAAATTTAAGTAGAACGTGTGATACTTCATCGTGACCAAATAGTTTAAGACTAAGTGCTGATTAGACAGGACCAAACAGCTAATGTCAAAGATATTTTTAGCTTCTACTAAAAAATTGAATTCATTCATTAATAAAAATTACTAAACCATAAATTATTATTATTATATATATACATTTTATTATTCATTGAAATTTAAGTCATTGAAAAAGCTAGTTGAAAGATAATAAAATTTTGAATCGAGCGCTTTCTTTTGAGTTGACCTCGACGGGTCAGATAAACTATCGATAGACTTATCGCATTTTGAAATACAACCCTGCACGAAAAAACGCTGTGCACACAACGCAGGTACATCCACGACTGAAAAACCTAACCGAGAGAAAAATATTACTTCTGACCGCTGCAAGAATAGAAAAAACACCTTTGTTGGGGTTTTACTATAGCCAACACGATGACGAGAGTTACGAGAAGCGATATCTCGCTGGACATGGAGGTCTGGGTGGAGGAGTTGTCGCCGGCACAGTTGGCGTACTACGAAAAAATTACCAACGAACACAATGCGGTAAAAGGCGCGCTCAAGAACGCCGTGTCGGCCAATGAAGGAAAAGAACTCTTCAACGGACAGGTTTTCCAAGCCTACTCCTTCAAAGGAAAGGTGCTGCAGGACCTTAAGGAAGCCACTCTACCCAAAAAGCCACCCAAGCCGGCTGAACCCTCCGTAACCCCCTCGGCACCAGCCTCAGGCTCTGGTAGGGGGCGGGGCCGACCGCGCTCTTCTTCGAATATAGCATACTTGGAAACGTCTGACGAGGGCGAGGACGATGTTCCGCTGGCCAAGCGACTAGCCCTGTCTGCCGGCAAAAAGGCAGTGTCATCCACAAGCCCCATACCTTCAACAAGTCCAAAGGTGGGCAGACCTAAGGGATCAGGTGCGGGATCTGTAGCCTCTTCTTCAGGCAAAGAGTCGCCAAAACTGAAGGCGAAACTTCCTAAGGACTCTAAGCAAGATTTGGATTCTCCTCCGAAAAATTACCGTCCCGCAGAGGTTAACTCGGTGGGTGGGCTGGTGGTGGGAAGCTCAGATGACAATAAGGATAAGGACAGCAAAGACGGAAAAGACAATAAGATGCAGGGCAAGACTTATCCGTCACTCGTCGTCCTCGCCAAGCCCTTCCTTAAAGTCAAGGACATGGCTGCAACGCGCAGCAAGCTCGACTCAAAGGTCAAGCTCGTGCTTATGCTTACACCTAACAAGTTCTGCGAGTGGCTGCTTCAGGAGGGCCTTCTCAGGGCCCAGCAGCACTGCATTAATCACCGCAACAACGAGCTTAAGTTGGGTAAGGATAATCAGATTCTGCTTTAGTATATTGGATCTACTAATATTTCCCCCTTAGGAATCTACTCGGATGTTACTAAGTTCCCCTACACCGGTGGATATGTGTGGATCAGCGACTGCTGTCCCTATCGGTTTGTTTCCGTTTTCAACAATTCAATTTTTGAAGGCGCACAGCACCCACCTACGTTTCTGTTGAAACTAATCTACCATTGGGCCTGCCAGACCAGTATCCAGAATGTGGTGCAATGGGTTAAGGTCGACAGCGTTTATATCAAGGGAATATATACCTGGCTGAGAGCCATTTGCACCCTGGCAGTACATCAGAAGTGCAAGAAGCTAGGTGGTCCTGGAAAGTTTGTTGAGGTAATTGACATATTGGAGAAATCTAGTGAGATTTTCGCTTAACATCTGCTTTTGTTTCTATAGGTGGGTGTCATTTCTTTGGGTACCACTTCGCAAGACGGTTCACAACGCCAGGTGAAGGTAGAGGTGTTGGGTGTCTACGACTATTCGGAGAAATCTATTCGTTTGAGGGCCGTGGAGCCCATTACCGATGGCGATCGCAACTACAAAAAACGTTTCCAAGCCATCCTGGAGCCACTGTCGCGTTGGGTGCACAAGGACAGCACCATATGCATCGACTTGACCGTCGACAAGATAACACTGTTTAGCATGGGATTCAAGAATATCGTTCAGGCAGCGGCCACCGACAATACGGCCAAGCATAACAACTCGGCAGTGATGGAATATCTGCGACGCATCGTGCCCCGCATGTTCCAGAACACTTTGTCGCTACTTTCGCGGCAAATGATTCAGCAGTTTTTGGACGAACTGGTCTGGCGTGAATCTTTTGGAACGTACGCGCTGCAGGCATTCAACAACATCATTACCCACATAGCCGAACAGACAAGAGTCACCACCAATGAGACCATTACCCAGCGACTGTATCAGGTAAGTAAAACATTTAAAAGTACCTACCTGAGCAATAACTCAATATATCTTCGTTGTAGGTGGCCACAAATCCGTTTAAGGACTGGAGTATCCTGCCAGCCAATTACAAGGAGACTCCAGCAAACGCGGCACCCAAGCGGCTCAAGAAACGTTAGTAGTTTCGTAGTGTTGTTTTTAATAGGCCGTGAATAGACTTATTTGTAATTATAAGACGTTAAGACAATGCCTGCGTTTCTCACTCCAAAGTGAAATATTTCCTTCGTTTATCAAGCACAAGTGTTCGTTTAGTTGAAGCCAAATGAAAAGCTCAGGTCGAAGTGTTAAGCCCAATGAAAATGCGAATTTTGAATTTATTCAATTGAAAGTAAACAATCGTTATTCTCGCAGTGTACCATTAGAATTACTTTTTGATACTTTCGTGTTAACTTATTTTAACAACTCACTCTTAAGAAAAAATCCAAATAAACTTGCAACAAATTTAAAGACCTATGTTTTTATTTGATTTATACTTTCAAAATGAAACGCAGAGTGTTGAAACGCATAAGGGCTTGTATATAAGTAACTTTTAGTCTTAGTTACCAAAGTTATACAAGATTTTGTCATTCCATTGTTTGCTTGCAGCCATTAACGATGCGGACTATATTGTTTCGGCCAAGATCCCCAAGAAGGAAAAGGATAAAGAACGCGAGCGGGATCGGGATCTATTGCCGTCGGGAAGCAAGAGGAGAGGACTAAGTACTCCGCCGCCAATGCCGGAGAAGCGAAAGGGTCCTGGGCGGCCTCCGGGTAGCACAAACCAACCCAAAGGTGACAAAGCCTTGCCCCCGAAAGTATCCGGACCAGCATCAGTCCAAAAAATTCCGGGTAAGATGGGAAGACCCCCGAAAGAAAAGGGGGAGGAAAAGGGACCGGTGGGCATCAAAAAAGAAGAGGAAGAGCTCAAGGGCCTGGAGGAGCTGTACTATGGCATCAGCGATGGATCGGAGGAGTTTTATGAAGCCTTCCCCTACACTTCACCGAGAACCGCCCAGGAGAATCTGGCCAAGACGGTGGAGTGCCCGATCTGCCTCAACGGCGATTCGTTCGACTCCAGCGAGAAGCTGCAGACCCATTTAGTCTCCCACATTTCTCCAGAAGGCAAGCAGCATCAGTTCCAGTGTCTGTTCTGCCTCGAGAAGCACCCTACAGAGTCGGTTCTGGCCAAGCACAACCAGATCATGCATCCTACCGAGACTAAAAACGAGGGTTCCCCCTCTTACTACTGTCTCATCTGCCAGCAGCGCCACAATTCACTGCACTTGCTTACGGCCCATCTGCAGAAGGCGCACAGCACCCTGGAGCTGCCATACTGGTGCCACGCCTGCGGCTACCGCTCATCCTCCCATCGCGATCTGGTGCGCCACTTCTACGATGACCACAAGAACCAGAACTTCCTGCAGTGTCCCTACTGCCTGGACGTAAGAAGGCATAATATTGACTTTCAACATTTCCTAATTATTTGAATTCCTTTGCAGATATTCTATTTCTCCAAGCGCGGTGTGGTGAACCAGCTGCGCATCGAGCACTACTTCCTGCATTTGGACGAGCATATTAACCAGCGAGATGGATCGCTGCGCTGCCAGAAGTGCTCCTTGTCCTTCTTGGAGAAGGGAGATCTGAAGCAGCACTCGGTGCAGCATCATGTTAGCATGACCAAGACCAGCAGGCCTGTGCGATTGTTGCTCAACAACTCACTGCTGATTCCACCGCCCAAGACACGCACCCATCACCGTGAGCAGCCTCCCTTCTCCAGCTACAAGCGGCCAGTTTTCTTCGCCTTCCTAGAGGGCAAAATCTGCGCCGAGTGCAACACCGACTTTGCCAGCGAGGAGACCCACTACACGTAAGTAAAATTCTGTCCGATTTATTAACGAAATCCTGTTAAAATGCGCCAGGGATAAAAGTGATAGTATTCGCAAGAAAATACCAATGAGGACACGGTCCAGCCAAAGCCCAGAACGAACCAAGCCAATCGCAAGGTATCCAAATCGATGGCTTGGAAGCCGAGAACATTGTCTAGCAGGGTTACGTAGCCTGCCCGCATGGCATCGTTGAAATCGGAGATGAGCCAGTGGGAAAGCAGACCCGAATCTTGAATCTTCATTATGAATAGGTTGAGGGTGTACTCCAAGTGGCAGTTACTCCGCATCGGATAACCGATGAGGGGGGACCCCAAACAGGCGGTGGAGAACCTAAAGATCGGTTTGTAGGCGTACTGCTGTTGCATCGCGAAGAACGTCCACCGTTCCTCGGTAAAGGGATACGCATAGCTCCGGTTGAAACTAAGTAGGGCGGACACTTGTTCGCTGGCATCGACGCCGACCAGAAGGAGGGCTACCTTCTCCACCATACAGGCTTCCACGTGGCGCAGAATAATGGCCGTTTCATATTCCTTTACCAGAACCTTCTGTTGCTGTTGCACCAGCTGCTCAATGCTGTTTACTTGCTCCCCCACCACCAGAGCTGTCAAAAAACTGTCCAACTCGATGTTGTACCAGCTGGTGATGACGAATCCAAGAACTGCCAGTTGTAGACACACAACGAAGTATCGGATCGATGGTCGGTAGGTTTTTATCGGGGAACAGATGAAGAGCAGCCGACTGACCGCATCTAGGAAGCTTGAACTCAATTCCAGCGACCAGTGGTGCCTTTTCCTACTTGGACTCAGGCAGTAGAGTGCTCCTGTGATGAACAGCAGAGCTCCGAGAAGAGAGTACCAGCAGCTGGCGTCGAAAGGTCTCAGGAGATACATGTGCCGGGGGATCTCATTACGAACTGGAACAATCAGGCAATTGGGGGATACGACCAGGGGATAACTCTTGTCTCCCCAGTCCTTGGGTGTGTTTACGTATGGGTGCACGGAAATCTCCAGTTGGTCATCCATTATTAGCTGCACGATCCGACTCATGTTGACGTTGCTGGTTGGACTGAGATCGGCGTCAGGGTTGGTTACATGCAGCGAGGCATTGTGGCGATGCAAATACTCCACAAACGTGCGATAGGCGTATCCCCGAATCCTTCTGCGTCCAGTGCTATGATCGCGAACCATAAACACTCTGGGTATATCATTCTCCACTGGGGTGGACACCACATAGCCTTGGAAGTTCTGAGCCGGCGGGGAAAAGAGTGGGTTCGTCTCAATGTCCATCCTGAAGAAATGTACAGTCGGATAGGGGGAGTAGGAATAAATCTGATCCTTGTGCAGAACGAGAACGTTGAGGAACTGAAGCTGCCACAGGCGCTTGAATATGTTGAAGATGGCCTTGCGAGATCCGCTTCTTTGCGAGCGGAGAACTACAATCAGGCGACTCCGACGCAATCTATGCAGGCACTTGTCAATATTGAACCAAACTATGTCCTGGCTGCCATGACAAAAAAACACGCTCACGCTGTTGTCTGCGGTGACATTCAGGTTACCGAGTGGAGCGTACTCTTCCGGTGGATTGTACGAGTCTACAGTTAGGGTAGTAATCTCCAACTCTTGTTGTAGCCACATGATGAAGCTAATTAGATCGTTATTCTTGGTGGTGTGACCCACGAAGATGGGTGTGTTGGTCCACTGCTTCTGGGTAAACATGACGCTAAGCACGGACTTGACCAGACTCATGTTGTGTCTTCCCATTACGAGCACTGGGACGAGGAGCAGGTATACAATATTGAGCACTTTGGACATGACGGTTGATTGGTGGTATCTGGCAGGCGAGGCCCTTCGTCACTGGCTTATAAAGAAATAGATAATTGATGCAATACCGTCTAATGGAGGTTGATTGGTGTTATCGTTGATCTAAGGACTCCCCCCTCTCAGGGGGAAATCGTCCATGGAACTCCAGATTAAAATACTATTGAATTTTCTATATTTCTAGGGGCTGGCTGCACTGCGTCAAATGTAATTACCAGACCTGTTGTGAGCGCGCTCAGTTCCGACACGGAGTCGACTGCAATGGAAACTTTGTGGACGCCATGGAGGTCAATATGCCCCAGGAGATGCATTGCATTTGCGGTTTCGCTACTGGCAACGGTAATAAGATGGCCCAGCACTTGGCCAATTGTGGCCTCAGCACCTGCTACCCGACTCTGGAGGCAGCTAACGAGAATGCCGTCAAGCGCAATATGCTGGACATGTTGGGTTTGGTGCGCCGCGACGGGGAAACCTCCGGTGAGGGTGCCGATATGAGCGAAGCCACCGACGAGACTGGCGATCAGACCACCAGCGAAATCATGCAGTCCCAGGACGATTCACAGCTGCAGCATCAGCAATTGGAGCATCAGCAGCAACACCAGCACCAGGTGCAGCAGCAGCAGCCACAGGAACCGCAGCCAGAGCTCCAGCAGGAGTACTTATCGGCGCCGGTGGAGCACGAGCCTGTACAGAATCTTCCAGTACATCAGGGAATACCCGTGCAGCAGCCAGGGCCCATCCAGTTCGGCGAGATGGAAGCAGCTCCCGTGCTGATGGATCCCCAGGTGCAGCAGGTGCAGCCGACTCCGGACTACGCCCAGGTGTCTGTAGTGCAACAGCACCAGCATCAGCAGCAGCCATATGGAATGAGCAACTACGGCCAGAGTACTCTCGCCACGGACATTGACATGCCGCTGATTGGGGAGTTGGCTGAGCCCAATGCTCCGCCCACACCACAATTCCTGGGAGAAGTACACACGCCCATGTTTGATGCGGTAGCTGCTGCCGAGCAGCAGCACTATCACGCTCAGCAGCACCACCACCACCCGCAATGATACAAGTCTCCAGGCAAGCTAAAGTCGAGGGACTACACTCTCCACTGGCAGAACTACTAAACGGCCAGCTTTCACGAAAGAAATTGTAATGTATTGCGAACAGTATCTTAAGTTGCAATATAAAAAATGAAATTATAAAAAAAGAAGACACATTAATGTTGTTGCAAACGTTTAAATTGTATAGCATTTAGTTAAGCACATTTTACACAAAAAAGTAATATTTGAAATCTCAATTGCACAATGTCGGACTACACTGGAGAAACATGTTTTAATTTCCTACAAAATGGAAGCAAAATAACCATGCAGAACTGTGTAAGAATTCATCCATTTTGAGATCCACAATATCTTTTAAAAATACTGCTCTATAAAATAACCAATCATTTAGATTTTCGATACTAACCATTTGTAAATGACGCAAAATTCATTGTTCTTTAAAAATAAATCTATCTACGAATCCTTAAATGAGTTATCTTTAATGGTCTTTTGAAGTTATTATTCATTAATTAAGAAAATAAGCTAATTTTATTCAATTAAGGCCAATTTATTGGATAGAGTTGCGTCCTACATCGATTGTAATTAATTATAATGATCCAATTAGCTTAGAATATGTTTTAATTTAATGACGATGATAAAATCTCCAACGCTCACAAAGAAAAACCATGACGGATAACATCCAACCATACCCCAGGACTGCCCAACCCAGTCGCAAGGCATCCAGATCCAGGGCATGGAATCCCAAGACGTTATCCAGCAGACGAACGTAGTCAAAGCTCAGGGCATCGTTAAAGTCGGACACAAGCCAATGCTTCAGTATTCCAGAGTCCTGTATCCTCATTATGAACAGGTTGAGAGACCTCTGCAAGTGGCAGTCACTCCTCATCGGATAACCGATGATGGGAGCTCCTAGGCAGGCCGATGAAAACCGAAAGATCGGCTTGAAGGCATATTGCTGTTGCATCGAAAAGAACTCCCATCGTTCCACGGTGAAAGGATAAGCAAAGCTGCGATTGAAACTGAGCAGGGCGGAGACCTGTTCACTGGAGTTGGCACCCACCAGAAGCCGGGAAACCTTGTCCACCAAACGGGGTTCCACGTGCCGCAGAAAGGTGCTGATTTCGTAATGTTTCACCAAGACCTTTTGCTTTTGTTCCACTAACTGCTCCATGCTGTCCACTTGCTCACCCACCACCAGGGTGGTGAAGAAGCTGCTCAACTGAATGCTGTACATGTTGGTCACTATGAATCCCAGGATGGTGAGCTGAAACGAGACTACAAAGTACCTCAGGGACGGTCGGTAAATCCTCGATGGAGAGCTGATAAACAATACTCGGCTTATGCCATCCAGAGGGTTAAAGGTCCTGTGCTCTTGGCCAGGCTGAATCCAGTATATTATGCCACTTATATAAATCACTGCGCCGAGAAGGAGTAGCCAACTCCACCTGTTCAAAGGCAGGTATAGATAGGCATGGCGGGGAATCTCGTTCCTCACCGGAACAATCAGGCAATTCCTGGCCACTATCAGTGGGTAGCTATGATCTCCTATATTTTCCGGCACATCCACATACGGATGCAGGGAGATTTCCAATTGGCCATCATGTATCATCTCGATAATCTTTCCCATATTCACACTATGGTTTGGTGTATGGTCCTGGTGGGGATTAGTCACACGGAGAGTGGCATTGTGCCGCTTGAGATACTCTGCAAAGACACGATATCCATATCCTCGGGGTTTCCAGCATCCAGTTTTCTGATCTCTTATGAAAAATACCCTGGGAATATCGTTTTCCACTGGAGTGGAGACTTCATAGCCTTGGAAATCATTTGTGGCAGGAGGAAAGAGCGATGTTGAGTTTATGTCCAGCTTGTAGAAATGCACCACCGGATAGGGGGTGTACGAGTATATCTGATCTTTGTGCAAAACCAGAACATTCAAAAACTGAAAGTGCCACAACCGTTTAAAAACTTGCATCATGGCATTGTAGGAACCGCTCCGGGTATTGGACAGCACGACAATCAATCGTATAGGTCGCAATTTCCGCAAACTCCTGTCCAGATTAAGCCATATGGGTTCCTGGCTACTCTCGCAGAAGAGCAAACCGATTGAATTGTCGGCTATTATCTTGAAGTTTCCGAGCGGAATCTGTTTATGGGCTGGAGTCGATGTATCCACAGTGTGGCAGGTAACTTGCATATCACGTTGAAGCCAAATCATCAGCCCGTTAATATCGTCGTCTGCGGTGTGGTGTCCATAAAATATCGGTGTATTCTTCCATTGCTCCCGACTGCCAATGACCCGTAGCACCGCCCTCAACAATGTCATGTTGTAGTCTCCGATATGCTGGAGCTGGACTCCCGTGGAAAGTAGCAGCAGAAGTGTAATAGTTCTGCGCATGGTGGTTGGTCCTTTATTAATACCGCCGATGCCTTACGTTGTACTTTTAAGGAAGCAAATAATTGATTTAATTATATATAATGATTCATTTGGCTTATCAGGCATCTCTCTAGCAATAATATAAATGCATTGTACGGGATATGAATCAATTATACAATTTATTGGAATTTCTTTAGTTGTGAGCATTGAGATATTGCACAAGGTTTGAACAAAAAACACATTAAACTAGATTAAATAAAAGAATACATATAAAGTTACAAGAAATAGACAGAAAGCACATAAAATATTTACTAAATATTGGATCTAGCATCATATACAATTTGTAGGAATATAGAAGGAGTTTAGAAACCACTACCTTTGTATTTAAATTTTAAAACATATTCAGAGGTATCCCCCGAAATCATTACAATTGAATTTCGATAAATTTAAACAGGAATTTTGTAAAACTATGGAATCGAAGACTCTCTTTTTGAGACAAGAATCATTTTTGCTTTGCTCGCTGCTTGGATTTCAACAGAGCAGATAGAACCAGAGCGGTGTCGAGCTCCAGCTGAGTGCCCGGCTCATTGTCCAGTGATATTTCAGCTGCGCGCTCATGAAACCGCGCCAAAACCCGAGGACGATAGTCTGAAATGATGATAGCAAAGAAAATAATTATAGGACACCTTTTTTAATATAAATTTTAAAACCCACCTACACTTCCCGCCAGGGGATTACCAGTTAGTCGCAGAGTCTCCAACAGGGGAAGATTCGCAATATAATCAACCTCGTCGAGCTCCTCGATTTGATTACTGCTTAAATCCAGATTGACCAGCGACAGTAGCTTCCGCAGACCACTCAAAGTCTTGAGTTTATTTTGAGCCAGTTTCAAAGTAACAAGATTGCCCATCGTTAGGTGCCAGTCCACGCACTCGTTGATGAGATTACCGGACAGCGAAAGCAGCTGCAGATGGGGAAGCTCTGAAAGATTTTGGACGTTGCGAATGCGGTTCTGTTCGAGCACCAGACGACGCAGCTTGGGTGCCGTCCTTACACTTCCATCTATTTGCGTTAGCAGGTTGCCGGTCAAGTCCAGCTCTGTGAGCTCCCGCCAAGCGTCGGCTGTAACTAAGGAGGCGTTGGATTCGGATGTGCCAGATGTGGCTGAAGATATTTCTTCGGGTAGCAGGCTTGGCACATCGCAGTGCTTGTGAAGATTGTCGCAGAGAAGCACTTGGTTTATATTCTGGATGGTTGTGTTGTGTACACAGATTGTCTGTAGGGTTGGCTTGAGCAATTCCACGTCCACAATGTTCTCCGTAGACAGAGCCGAGAATCTGAGCGTCTTGAGATTACGAAAAGCGTTCAAATTAAATTTTAATCGATTGGGAATAATGTTGCTTCGGCCTATTGGCACATCAACTGTGTTGTAGTCCTGCGTGAAACTGGAGTTATCCTTAACTGGCGTGACTACCAAGCTCACTAGTTGCGTGCAAAAATCTAGGACATGTGAGAAATCATATTTGCCGCCACGATCGGGACTGGGTGGACAAGGAAGACTAAGACGCTCGCTGATAGCAAAGACCTGCGGAAAGGAAAATAAAAACAAAACATATATAACTGTATTTATAAATATATTAAGAAGCCATTGCAGCTTTGAAGGTAAGGGATCGTTTGTCAACGTCCGGAAGCAGCTCCCTTTCATCGGTAGCCAGAAAGCGCAGCATTAGCTTGTATAGCAATGCTATTCCCATGTATTTCCGCTGCCGTCTTGTAAACTTTTCTTTGGCCGGTCCCCAGTAAACGCCCAACCGCCTATTGGCCAAGTGATTCATGCCGAGCGCAACAATCATGGATGCCTCACGGGTCTGCGCATCCCGTGATGAGATACCCCGAAATGCAGGCAGTAGCAGGACACCCCGCTTGTCATTCCAAATAGATACGATAAGCGCCAACTTTGGGTCTTTGGCCAACGTTATTTTATTGTTATTCAGCATCACTTGTTTGGCCTGGTTTAAATGAACCAGTGGGCGCAGAGATTTGCCCTTGCCAACGTAAAATATGGATCGCAGAAAGGTATACCACACATCCATCTTGTGAAGATGGTTGGCCCGCTCGCTCAGTTTGTTTGTTACTCGCGGGTCCAAAAGCAAATAGTTGTAAAAATTAAGATTGCCCTTTTCATTTTTTCTAAACCATTTACTATGCTCTCGTACGTAACCGGCGAGCGTTTTAATGCGATCGAAGTTGTTCTCCGTGTGAAGGGTCTTTTCCAGCTCTGGAGAGAAGTTGGTGCGCTTCTTGGACAGTGATCCTAGGGTATATTTAATGCCCCGAACATTGACCACCTTCGCTAAATGATTATAAGGCTGCAACAGGCCATTCTTGATGCTACAGAATACTATAAATTTTGACATGATTGTGTGAGTTTAAGGATCAACAAAACGAACTAACGAAAAACTCAAAGTGAGAATACAAACTAATTTTTAGGCTCACCTCCAGGGCCGAAAGGTTGTACTCCTTTTTGGAGCTGAGAAGGGCATCACCGCTTTCATGGAACAGCTTGGCAAGATCCTGCAGCAGATAGATTATATCATACTTGTTGAAGTCAAGGAACTCGGCTAATGCGCGGGGAAGCTCCGTACGAAAGTATATGAGCAGTTCCTGCAGGTACGTCTCCAGCTGTTCCCGGCGTTGTTCCAAAAAGGCGGGCTGCTTGTTCCCCACGAGCTGAAAACCAGAGAGGGTGAGACTTCTTCGCTATACTTATGTTTGGGGGCGTACCTTTTTCGGCGGCAGCAGCTTTTTGCTAATCGACACTTCCTCGACCAGCTTGTCGTGGAGCTGGGCGAAATCTTTGTAGCGCCGCTCCACCAGCCATTCCACACGTCCCACCCGCACTTTTATGTCATAGTAGGTCACTCCGACGGATGTTTCGTTGCAGAATTTCGGCACTGTCACCGAAGAGTCCTCGTGCTGCCGGTAATAGCAAGCCATGGCTTTCCGTTCCTCTTCCCTGAGATAGTGATACGCTTCCAGTGGATAATCATAAGATAGGCATCCTCTTAAACGGGTTTAAGCGCAATTGTTGCCTAATAACAAGGCAATTTTCCAATTTATTGCCATTAAAGTTGTTGAACATATGTTTTCTGTTATCGGATAGAGATGGCAGTGAATTGTAAACAGTGACTCATTAAAGTATTGTATAAATTTGCGAAATGTTGAAAAAAAGACAATCAAAAACATAAAAAAATAACTATAAAATGGTTTGAATAATTTGATTTCGAGTGTTTTTTGTTTAATTTAAATTGTTCTTAATATTTTGGGATTCAATCACTGCTTCTATCGATAACGATAACGATTGGTACATGGCGAATACGGCGTTTTTTGTTTATATTTGCTTGTTGGCATATTTGGTTCTTGGAACAATTGCTTAAATACTTTATTTGTAAGAAATGCCAGTAGACACGCTAACTAAAAAGTAGATTATTAACACGAGCGGAACAAAGACGTGGACAAAATGGCTTTCCTGGGCGACTGTGTGATTGTTTTTGTTTCTCAGGTTTGACTTCCTAAGATAAATTCCTTTTAAGAATGCAAAATTTAATTGTAAGCAATTTTCAGATGATATTCTTTGCCGGTGGATGGCTGTTTTTCAACAAGGAACTCTTCAAGCACTATGAGATTCGTCACATATCTGTCCAGTTGATCTTTTCTTCCACATTTGCCCTTTCCATTACCATGTTTGAGCTGATTATATTTGAAATAATCGGAGTTTTGGAGTCCAGTTCGCGGTACTTCCACTGGCGTCTGGGCCTCACCCTGCTGCTTATTATGGTGACTGCCGTGATACCTCTATACATATGCTATTCTGTGATACATAGCATTTCCTTCTGTAAGAATCTACTGTTTCTATAAAGTTTCAGACTTTTAACTGTGTTTCTTCCTCAGTCTCCGACAGATGTGTCAGAATTCTGACCACACTCTCTTGGTTTGTTTTCCTCTACGGCCTATGGCGCATTGGAGAACCTTTTCCCTTGCTGAGCGCCTCTAATGGCATCTTCACCATCGAGCAAGGCGTGTCCCGAATAAGTGTAATTGGCGTCACCGTGATGGCCATTCTCTCGGGCTTTGGTGCTGTGAACTATCCCTACACCAGCATGACCTATTTTATCAAGTAATTGGAGTCGCTATAAATTTGTTCTTATCTTAGTGTGACATGCATTTTGGCCTTTCTTTCTTGGCAGGCCCGTTTCGCGGAGTGACATCATCTGCTTCGAGCGGCGTTTGGCTTTGACGGTGGACATGCTGACTGCAAAGAAACGCCGCATTGCCATGGCTGTCTATAATCAAAATAAACAGCATCCAACCAAGCCCCGAATTTGGGATATGCTGACATCGGCAGTGCATCGCAATATACACAATGGAGAAGGTATAAATAATTGTAATACTTGTTTTCCTATTAATACAATTATTTATTTTCATTAAAAGATATCAATCAGTTGAAGCAGGAAGTTTATGGGCTAGAGGAGCTACTGAGATCAGTTTTTCTGGAATTAAATTCCTTAAAAGACATGGAGGAGCGTCAGAGATGGTCACAGACATTGAAAGGGAAATATTTCAATGTTCTTGGTCACTTTTTCAGTGTGTATTGCGTATATAAGATATTTATGGTAGGTTGGAAGTTGATTTCATAGTCTTCTTAATTAATTTTCACATGTTTTTATAGTGTTGCATCAACATAATCTTTGATAGAGTGGGACGCAAAGATCCGGTGACACGTGGCCTAGAGATTGCCGTACATTGGTGCGGCTTTGACATAGACTTGGCCTTTTGGAATCAGCATGTGTCATTTTTACTCGTGGGCTGCATTGTAGTTACCTCTATAAGAGGTCTTTTGCTAACGCTCACTAAGGTTGGTAGTAAAGCTTTCCAAACTTCAAATATTCTTATAACCTGCTCTTTTTTAGTTCTTCTATCGCATATCATCGAGCAAGTCGAGCAACATTATTGTACTGATCTTGGGCCAGATCATGGGCATGTACTTCTGCTCCTCTGTGCTGCTGATGAGAATGAATATGCCTGCCGAGTATCGTGTGATCATCACAGAGGTCCTCGGCAACTTGCACTTTAACTTCTATCATCGTTGGTTTGATGTCATATTCCTGGTCAGCGCCCTGACCACCATTTGTGTCCTGTATTTGTCGCGCAAGCCATTTCGCGTCGATGATTCCGATCTGCACTGAATATAAATATAGAGAGAGGGAGGAGGAGAGCACAAAGGATGTTTTTTAGAGTAAGCATAATCGATTTAGAATCAGCTAGCCTAATTATTGCAAGCTTTAAGTTATGCAAATCCATGTATATACCAGTGTGTATATTTAATGCAGCATAAGGTTATAAAATATGTTAAATGCACGAAATCAAAGCTAATTTTGTTTAAGAATAATAAAGTAACGAACTGTTTATCTATAGAAAAGTTCTTGTTTGAAATAAAGGGTATTTGTAAAGCTTGAATATCCTAAAGCTTGTCGCAAGCTATGAAGCTTTTTAATGTGGGTCTTTGGGTTGCTGGGTTACCAGAAGTCTGACTCAATTCGAGTGAGTCCCCTTTAAACATTGAGCGAATTTGAGACTACTCTGGTATCCCAATACCACAGTTCCCCTAACTTAACATAGTAAAAGTTATTACTTGAGGTAAACTGTAAGGAATTGTTGAATAACCTGGTGGGGGTAAGTTCGCAAAGGTAGGATCTGTGAGGTCTAGGTCCAACTTGAAGTAGACGGACTATTCAGGCCCTGCAATCACAATATACACACATATACACAGTAAATGTTTTACATTCTTAAATGCTGTTTCACAGAAATGTACTTTTACTGAAACTTTAGCTTCAGCGTGGCAAAGTACATACCATTTAAAAATACTTTTTAAACACCTGAGGGCCATTTTGAGGAAGAATTTCTCGACACTCCATTTCATTGCCTACTGCTCGGGGCACTTAAGAGACCTGAAAAAACGCAAACATAAAATCGCAATTACAATTAAAGATGGCCAACTTTTTAAAAAAGTCCCAAATAAAAAAAACGCAAGGCCACAACAGAAAAATATAAAAATTGGCACCAGTTTCCGCTCCTCCATAAGCAATCCTCCCAGGCAAGGACTAAGGTCTAACCATGTGCACACATTTCTGGCTAAAAATGCCATTAAAATGTTGCGGCAGCCGCAGATCCAACTGAGCGAAAAACATTTCGAGTGTCTAGATGAATAAATCATGAAATAAAAATGATTGAAGGCTTCCCACGGGTCGGGGGACAAATAGAGGGAGGCAGGAGCATCGAAACTGCAGTCAAAAGCGCAATATATGACCAAGAATCAATCAGTCGGAAACCCGATGAATTTGTAACTAAACCCCGGTGTGAGCCATATAATGCTTTGCCTAATTAGATACAAAAAGGGCTGAGGGGCGGGGTTCTGCCACATTTTCCACGCCGCCGTATTTACTGTTAACCTTATCGATTTCATCGATTAGTGATTGATAATGTGTGTTGGCCTGTTTCACTTGCTGTGTTTGTGTAAGTGGCTAAGTGTGTGTGTACTGGTTGACTTCATGGCCATTATGCAAATTTGCCAAGCAATTGATTAGAATTTCAGTTACGTTACGCATACGTCCCGTGTGCCGTGGCTACCATAATTAACACTGTATGCCCCAGTCACGGTTGGCTAATTAGCATAAATTCAATTAGTTTCCTTGTTTACACCTCCGGTTGTCTCCAAAGTATCTAGGTCGCTTTTGCTCACCCTATCCGCCTTATGGTTTTATCCGATTGGCAGGTGGGCATTATAGTATATGGTAGTGTCTTAGCTGTTTGCTTAAAGGGCTTAGTTCCCAGTCAGCTTTTTGACGAGCGTATGCATATTTAGCATATTTCCTGCTTGACATCTGACCTTTTGTCTTGCAACACAACGGTTTCGCGCCTGACTTGAGGTGATGCCAACAACAACTGGCAGTTGTGACTGCGGTTATCTGTCTGATTGTGCCAGTCCCGCCCCAGGGACATGCGAAACACATTAGCATAAGCAGGCGGCATTTGTTCAGATTGCCGACGAATTTGCGACAAGTTATGCAATAGGTCGTCCCCGTGAGATAAACGAAATCCGTATAATAGTACTCGAGGGATTACAATTATATGATATAAACCAAAAATAAAGTATGCTTGTCCTGTTTCGCTTTTTCATTTATTATTATAAAAAACCTCACTCGCATTTAAATACTTCATTCTGATGATTGGTTATGTCATTAACTCGATCAGGTATACTTTTCCCGCACTTCGAGCCAAATGGATCTGGCTTAATGGCCCCCATTTCGCATCCGTTAACCTTTAGCAATGGCTTTAGCCCCATTTAACATCGTCGATTGCCTGCGTCCGATTCGGAGTGTTTCCACCTAGCAACCAAGCAACTAATTAAGACCCATCTCCATCCTCGTCCTGGGCAACTCATTAGTGGACGATGGCTCCATATAATTAAAGCATCGCTTCCGCCGGGCCAAAGTGCAACCGAAGCGGAGGAGTAATCAAAGCACTTGGCAATTATTACATTGATTACCAAAACGAAAGCCATAAATGCCCGTAGGACCCTGGCCAGTCCACAGAGGAAATTAAAAATTATTAGTATACCTCAGGGAATACTAGTATACCTCGGTTCATTAGAGCAGAGCTTACCTTTAGAAGTTTAAAGCTTAAATGGAATACAGCACGAAGGTTCAGCGTCGATTTGCAATCAAATTATTTGCCGTATCAAATATTTAAAAGTGCTGCAACGCACTCAGGGCATGAGAAATGATAGCCAGGCAATTGAAGTTGGCATACTGACAGGGGGTGTTATGTTTAAAATAGTTCAATAAATTTAATCAATAAAATAGTTACTACAATAATAAATATATACTAAATAAGAATGTATTCTTTTTAGATGTGAAATTAGGCCTTCTCGTTCTTAAGTGGCACCCTGTTTTGGGAACGTATTAACGGTTTTTGTTGCCCTAGCCTTGATGTATGCGAATGCTCGTAGAACCATTTTTTTTTATCCCCCACAGAACTCAGCTGTGCGCAATCATCGTCGGCCATCATGATGATGCTGCTGATGATGTGACCGAGCGCCGTAAGGTGAAACCCTGCTAAGGGCAGATATCAATAAAGCGATTCAATAATTTAATGGCGAGCCAAATTAAACATCTGAAATGGAGAGACAGGAGCAAGGTCGCCATTCCGAACTGACCCACACTTTACTGAATATTGCATCTATTTGTTATGCATGTGCTCGTCCACCTTTCAGCTTTCAGCTTCCACCTTCCACACCGACGCCCATTTTTACTTTCAAACTGTGCCAAGATTATTGCTCCATTTTACGCTCGAATGCTTTTCGCAGGACTCACGGCAAAGTTTAGCGGGCACGTGAGTGAGTGTGCTTCCCATAAAAGTGCCATAAATGTTGATAAGATATGTTTGTCACCGGTGAGTGTGTGCCCGAGTGTGTGTCGGCACCTCTGCCCCGCCTGGCAGCACCCACGCCCTAGCCTGCATCTGCAAGATTGTTCTGGAAAGAGAAAAGAAACGATGTGCCAAGTAGTTTGTCTACCCGATATCCCAGAGATTGCTTTATTACCCCCGGAACGAGCTCAATGCAGGGATGTGCCGTGTGCCATCCGTGAGGATTTATGATTTGCATGCCAATTTGTCGGCTTATTAGGCAAAGATATGGCGGGACATCAAACTCAGTTTTAAGGAAAACTTAAAGGAAAATGCATATTTTTGTAAAATGTTTGTATGGCTTTTCTTTGTCCATAGCGACTAATTTCTCATCCGCCACAATTGCAGCCCATTTTCCATTAGCGGAGAGAGCCCGACCCAGGCGATTGTGCCGCCAACTGGCCATTTGCAGCGCCCAAGCAACTGACGCTTGTCAATGATGGCCTCAATCACAGCTGTCATAAACAGCAAAAGTGTCCGTTCGTCCGGGTGGCAGCATGGAGGTCCAACGGCAGGGACGGCTATATACAGACCGAATGAGACACCAAATGGAATGGCAATGGTGGCACCGGGCAGAAGGAGTGACACTGCCATCACTTGAGTTTTGTCTTTCTTTTGTGAAGCCATCCAGAGCTATTAATATGGAAATTATGCAAATTGAATTGACTTTTGCCGAGGCCGACTGCGAGCCATTAAGCGGTGTTTAAGTTGTTTTCGTTGTGCCAAGGTGTTTATACACGGCTTCGAGAGGATTAGGTGTCGCCGAAGGTGTTTGAAGAGCCCAGAGATATGAAAAGCCTATAAATGCCACAAATGCAAAAGGATATTGTTTACATCTAAGCTTTTAAATGGATGAAAATTTGAGAACAGTATGTGGGGCTTAAAGTGTCAGTATTTTCTCGGAGATAGCACAGTAAGCAATATCAAGCCTTCACAACAAACCAGTCTATTCGTTATTCCATTAAAATTTCTTCTTATCAAGAATTGTATAGTTTTATACATCGTCATGCCATTTAAATACGATTACTACAAATGCACTCGAATGGTGTCGGTTCTGGTCAAATGTGCTATGGCTAGCATCTATCTGTGGGTGATGCTCCAAGCTGCTGCCGTTATACCATGCGTCGAAGTACCCCAAGAGAAGAATTACTGGATTTATCGAGAGAGGCTCTCCATGAGCTACAGCATCGTCGATAGTATAAAAGAGGTACTAATTTACTTTCTGGTGTTCTGGATGATGTTTAATTTGTACAGTCGTTGCCGCTGTAATTTCCTGGGAAGCCGATGCATCAGCCAAACCAAGAACATTCCAAATTCGAAAAGCGGCCTCTTTATGTTTATGCACCCTTTCATGTTGTTTTTCATTTTCTTGTGGATAATATCCATGTGGTATGTGCTTGGTAAATACTCGGTAGTGATCGATTACACCACGAAGAACGGCTCCTATACGTTACTTTACCAATTTATAATGACCGTGATGTTTAAGATGCTCGTTTTGACTAACTTTTGCTCCACTTACTGGCGCATTTTGGCGACCCTAAACCTTTTCGAGGAGGAAGCTAAAGAGAATGAATTGCTGATAAACGACCATGATTTCGGAGAGCATTTGAATATATTATTTTTTTCTTAAGCTGAAGACTCACTCCTCACCCTTATAGTAATTTCAAAAATTTAAAAATAAAGTTTGGCGATATCTTCGGGTGAGCACAGAGTTCGTTGGGCGCACATCAAGCATACGGCCCGTGTATGTTAAAGTTTTTGTTGAAATTTTTAACTGTGTCGGCATTAGGGTAAGTGGGAGGAGACTTTGGGGCAATAGGCCAAGGTCTGTGGGCGTTGTTTCAGAAACTGTTCCAATTCGGAATAAGACTCGTAAATTATGTAATTGAAGTTGGAAAACAATTTGTTCTGAAAGGCAAATTACATTTTAAATGAGCCTGATGCTACTTTTGTGTAAGGTTATTTATTTGAAGCCTTAAAGACAAATACCAATATCAATTTTTCTTTTTAGCAAGTCCCCAAGGTCCTCGACGTGGTCTAAAATCAAATTTCATTGGATTTCTTGTATTTTTTCCATTACCTATTGACGCAGGTGCGGTGGCGCTATCATTTATCATTCATTCCCCAGATTGCAGTCCCTTACGAAGCTTTGAAGTTGTGTCTCAAGTGCTTTGCCCAAAGCCTTATCGAATCAAAAAAGTGCGGTGAGTTAGAGAAATGACGGAAATTTGGCTTATTCGCCATGAAACTTTTACGGATAGTGGCTGTGTTGATTATGGTTTTAAAAGCGAGCCATGGACACACCCGACGCTGTCCACCCGGCAAGCAGTGGAACCCAAAGGCCAGAAAGTGTGTAAAATTTTATTTTGGCCCCTAGCCAGACAATATATAGTTTTATATATTTCAAAGCCAGGTCAATACCTACAAATATACCCGATGGTTCTGTTAAAATAAGGCTATCTTATATCTGTGGTTAATGCTCAGCCGTTATGCCCGATGTCGTTAAACGCTGAGTTCATAGTTCTGGACATCTCGATATAGGAGACATCTTAATTCGCTTCAAGAGCATGTTCATCGCCATTAGAAAGACGAAGGTAGATGCCTTCATTCTGGTGTCCTGGTTAATGTTTTGTTTGTTCCGTTGTTGCTGCTTAAATTTCCTGGGAAGTCGATGTATCAGCCGTAGCAAGGACATTCAAAATATGAGCTGCGGCACCATGTCCCCTTACATTATGGCTTCCGTTTGCCTCTGGTTATTATCCATATACGGTGGCGTTATCATTTATTATTTATCATTACTTTAGATTGAAGTCCCTTACGAAGTTTTGAAGTTGTATCTCAAGTGCTATGACCAAAGCCTTATCGAATCAATAAAATGCGGTGAGTTAGAGAAGTGACGGAGATTTGGTTTATTCGTCATGAAACTTTTACGAATAGTGGCTGTGTTGATTATGATTTTACAAGCGAGCCATGGACACCCCCGACGCTGTCGACATGGCAGGCGTTGGGACTCAAAAAGAGGCACTTGTGTATGATTTTTATTTCGGCCCTTCGCCAGCCAATGGGCTTCCAGCCCTGTCGAACCTAATAAACCAAAATAGCCCATTAAGTTGGCCGGCATTAATAACTACAAAAAACTGTGAGCCGAGACTATTAAATATAATGACAACTAATTTTAAGGTTGAGACAGACAAAGCCCTCTGGACGAACCCTAATTTTTAACATTTACAAAACAGATAAGTAAAAGTAAAATATGATAAATTAAGAGCCATTCATCGGTTGAAAAGGGTTCGCTGGACTAAAGCAAAGTAAAGCAACCTTTTGTCAGATTCTTTTGTTAGCCAACGACTCTACTTTCTTCCAAAAATATATTTGTGTATCTTTTCCCAAAATGAACATCCAATCACAACTGTTACAAAATACAAAACAAGCCTACATTTTTGGAGGGGGAAAAGGGTCATCTAGTTCGATACTCCCTATGGAATTTTCATTAATCAATGGAACCACTTTGCATATCATAGTGTGTGAAAAGGCAACAACAGATATGGAAATTGTGAATGGGTTTGCTGACCAGTCAATATCCATCGAAAGAGCGAAATATTTCCACCTTTATGCATTCAGGCATCGCCATCAGAAATAAAATAAATAAATGTAAACTGCCGAACAAAGTGCAACAAAATATAATCAAGATTGCCTGTCAAAATATCCGCCAACGGCCCGTGCAGCACGTGCCCATGGAAAATTCTTGAATTTTCATCGATTTTTTGTTTCCCTGAACGTTAGCTTTATTATTATTATCTGTGAACTGTGAATTTCCGTCTGCCGTGTGCAAATTGGATAATAGAGCAGTAAATTAAATTTTCCGCCCCCCATCCATTGGGGGATTGAGTGAAAATGTGTAATTACAGGCAGACAGGTAGCCACAAAAAATTCCCACCCCCGCCCACAATTGTCCTTCAGTTCGGTATGGTAATTAAATTGAATGACATGTGGGGCTACTTGCTGAAAACCATATCTAAACATATTCTTTGAATATAATAAAGAGAATTTGCTTTAAAAAATTATTTTTGCTTATATAAGCGATTAGTTCCATAAGTTCTGGCTTAAATATAAATTTCATCGAATAATAAAAAACTTTACCCTCCACATTTTTGAATTAGTTAATATAATTTAAACTCATTCGGGTTTGTTAATTCGACTAAGGAAAATGATGTTTATTTCGCTAATCGTCTGGCTTTCGGTGAATATTTTTTGGGGTAAAAATATGGAAGCCATTTCGGCTCCTCCTGACACGCCTCCACAGGATACCCCCTCGTGTCCACGTAAGTTTCATATATTTTTTATAAAGTGTTACTATGTATATTGCCTGTAAGTAACCTCAACTTCGCCTAGGTGGTCAACACTTTGTACCAGATTTTGGAAAATGTGTCAGAATTCCGAAAATTATGACGGGAGGAAACAAGGGAGGTCCCATGTCCCTCTGTCCAGACAATTCATGGCTTCTTCTGCATGATGCGTGTATCAGTGTTTACAGATACGTAGAGGGAATGTTTGACTGTGATACCGGGAATTTGTTACTACAACATATTATAAATTGTCAGAGCAGAAAGAAACCAAAAAAAGACAACAAGAAAAAAAATAAATGTAAAGGAGCTAAGGAATGGGACCCTGCGACTAAAAAATGCGTTTCAAAAACTACTTTGGATCCATATGATGATATCGATGAGTAACTATTTCAATCTAATTTAAAAATAAAAATAGTGTCAATAATGGTCACTTATTGTTTATCAAATGGTCTGAAATAAATTTTTTGTATGAAATCAAATTATACTTTAAAATTTAAAATGTAATAAAAATTATATAAAAGGATATGAAAGAGGGAAATGAACATTTGCACGAAACGTAAATGGCCGTAACCATGCGGCCATAAAAGTCAACGTTACCAATTTGGAAACACTCCGAGTTGGCCGAGACTCTGCGTCCTCTGGCATATTTTGCGGTTGAAATCCACACAAAAGGTGCGAACATTCGCAGCTAAAGCAGATGGTAGTGGGGCTGCAATTGCAGTGGGAGTATTTAGTGGATGTGGCATATGAAGATTCAGATGCGGGAGTGAGCAATACTGCCGGAGTGGTGGCTTCCGGTGATTCCAATTGGATGCTGTTGCTTATTTGGCACGGATTTTGTGGCACCACCCACAGCTTTTTGCCATCACCAGTCTGCGACTGTCAACGCAAAAAAGAGGTTTTAGAAATTGAAAGTTGATGTGTGGGCCACTGCAAATGTGCGATAAATGTGCTCCTGTCGAAGCAACCGCAAAAGCTTGAAAGGCGCTCTGACTAAAGTGGAATTGTGGCTGGATTTTATTCATTGACGTGGACATTTTTTGGAGCTAAAAGCTTTTCAGAGTTTAAATTTATAAACATTTCTATTCACCAACTCTTGCCACTCCTATTTATCTTGTAAATATCTTGTATCTTTCTGATCTTGTATCTTCCAGTACTATCATTCCCAATAAAAACCTGGCTTATTTAAAATTGGACCAATTTTCTAAAATTTGTTAAGGGGTAACATCAAAATTTTGACCAAAGATGAGTCCAAAATTAAATTTTCTGGTTTTCTACGATATAATAATGTAGATTAAAGGAGATTGAAACCCTGATTCATAAATGACATTCCATTTTTCAAATCGGATGCAAATTGGTAAAATTATTGGTTAAAAAGTATGTAAAAAGTTTTTTTTGGCACCCTAATATGTTAGGTTAGTCAACGAGGTAATTGGATTTATTATTTTCAGGGAATTAGCCATATTTTTGCTGACACACGTCCGATCGATGTAATACCTTTCCGGTCTTGTGTCTGAAGGGAGATTATCATTTAAAACCTTTACTAGACATCCCATTTCAAAATAGGATGTAGTGTTTTCAAGAGATGCTTGTGGCAATGAAAGCCATTTATTACTTTCTGAATGATTTCCTTACAGATACAGTAAATTTTCAAGAAACTAAATGCATTGGTTGCTCGATTAGGGCTTTGTGTTTTAGCTGTTGCAGTTGCTGTTACTCTTCACTTACAGAACGCTTTGTTTTGAAAGCCCCATAAATTGCGCATACGCCACGTTGCACCGCACACCGAGCCACGCTTGCACAGATAGCATCACCTTCTCCCGCGTTTTGCACGCATAAATTCAACGGAGTGAAATATTTGTGAACCGTGAAGCGACATTGGGAAAAGTGAGAGAGAAAACAGTTTACTGAATGCTCCGGAGCACTTTAGACATTCGACGGTTTGCCGGAGGAGGACTTGGGAATGGGATTCCCAATTGACATGCACCAGGCAATGGAATGCAAATTTCTGGCGCCGTATATATATATATCCCAGGCTGCTGCTGCTGCTGCCTTTTTGGTGGCAAGTTCAATTTGGAAGTCGCACCTACACTTGTCCAATTTTGATGATGCACTCTCCGTGGATTTAGGAGGAATTTTATAGAGAATTTTCCGCTTCAAAATTGTCCGGATCTCCTTTGGGTATTTGGGCCGTGCATCTGTGTGTGCGAGTGTCTGTTTGCTTGAAAGCTTAAATATTTGTTGGCTTTGACTGTGCCTGTAAACATGGCCACAAAGTATAATGCCATGAAAGTCCCTTTACTGGTCCTTCGCTGACGTCTCAAGTGCTCGACGTGGCCCGGGACTTGCCAGCGCCACTACAAAATTTACACAGGCCCATCTAGGTCAAGTATTGTCAGAGTCAGCCACATCAACGCCATCGCAGTCATCGTCATTGTCATGAAAATTTCTCGTGCTAAACCTGTCACTGAAGTTCATGTCAGCTGCGACAGTACAGTGGGCTAAGAACCGCCCAAACCGATGTGGCCTGTAACTACCTGAAGTGTGTGGGTTAGTGACAATCTTTTGACTCTTCACTCAAAATGGTTCTCACTCGATTATGTAGTTAAAAGTACGGTTGTATGGGTTTGCTTATTTTTAGACCACAACCACCAGCCTTTAAAATGTGCAAAATGTCCTTGACAACTGACAGAACAGCCGCAGGATGGCACTGCAACGTCGGAGAAGTTCTCGAGCTATCTACACAAAAAAAATCGTTAAATGTCTTGCAGAGTGGTTAAGGACTAATGCAAAAAAGGGCCAGAAAGATAATGTCACAAACTTACCTAACCATTTCCTTTCATGAAAAAAAAATCTTCAGTTTTATTGTATTTATTTTTATTACTCAATTAAAATTTAGTTGGGACATTCTTTGTTTTGGTTTTTACCGGTTTGTATATGAGTTCTTTTCTCAATTTGGGTTTTTCATATCCATTTATCCACTTATAATTGGTTTTTACCCATTTGCTTTTTTTTAAATGTAATAATTTTTATATGCAATTTATTTTGAATTTGACTTTGTTCTCTAATATAATTTCAATTATTTTCATTAGTTTGTTATTAATTTCAGTAGTTAATTGATTTGAATTTTAAAATATTTCTTTAGTGGCTTGTGTTTTTTGTTTCCACATGGTAACATTTTTTTTTTCGGCATTCAGCCGAAAAAAATATTTTCCAATTCAACTCGTTCTAATACATGTTTTTTGAATTTGTATAGGTATATATATATATGTGTTTTACTTCAGTTTCAAGTTTTTATTTTGTTTTTTATTCAGTTAAGTAGACAAATATGTAATACACTTGGTAGAAAAACGAAAAATTGTGCCACCAGATTAGTTTTTTTCATCATTTATCATTTATTTATCAGTTTATACTTGTAGAGCTCAAAGGCTGAAAAATTGTTGAGTTGACGTTTCGAAGCTGCTTCATGTTGCTTGGATACCCCTTAATTTCCTTAATCTGAAACAACATTGAGTTTCTTTGGTTTTTTTATATCAAGTTCATATGCATGTAGGTACAATTAACTTTTTTTTACTTTTTTGGCATTGGCCAGACAAAATGGAAATGTTTTCCCAAAAATTTGTTCAGCATTTTCCTTGCATTTGTCTTATAATTGGTTTCGCATTTTTTTCCTACTTTAATTTTTATGGAACATCGTGCCTTTTATTTATCTTTCTGTAACATTAGGTTTTCTTTTGAAAATGTAACTTTATTTTTAGTTTACGTTTAGTTCTTCATTAGTTACTGTCTTGGGGATAATAAGTAGCAGAGACTAAAACACAAAGTGTATTTCATTATTAATTAACTGAGATTTATGTTTATTCTATAAGTTGGTAATCAAACGAAACAAGCAACCAACTTGGTTTCAAAATCAACATAGCACTTATCCTCCTTACAACTCTTCATTGTTAAAGCTTTGCAAATCAAATTTAACTCTCCTCGACTTAACCATATATTATTTAAAGTTAATGAGAATCAATTTGGGTTAAAACATATTCACTAAGGGTTTTACATTTGTGTGCCCTCATCTTGATCGGCCTTTTACACATTTACAATTTACCAATATTTTTTAATCGCATTTCATTAAGCTTTAGCAGCCGTGACCAACAAAATTCAAGTGATGATTTCCTTATTCGGGATTAGTTTCTTTGCGTAACTTGTGGCCGCGGAAGGAGGCCTGGATTTTGGTAGCAGCCTTGTTAAGCTCGGGGTCGGTTAAATCAATGTCCAATTCTTCAGCCACTTTCTTGGTTATCTCCTGGATGTCCTCATCCTCGGGCGCGTCCTTGTTGACCAGCTTGCGTGCCAAATGACCACGGAATGTGGACTGAATCTTCAACGCAGCATGGCAGAGCTCTGGAAGACATGAAAGAAGGACAGAGAGGAGTGTAAATTAGTGTTCTAGTTTCCCTTAAGTGCCCACTTGGCTAACACCCCAAAAAAAAGGAACAAAAGCAAAAAGAAAACTACCGCATGTATATATATAATATATATGTATGTTTAAGAAACTAAAACTTGTCGGGTGTTCCTGGGCCAATTGAAACTTTGGATGATACTCAAACAATTCCATGAATTTGTTGTAAACTTTTTTCAATTAGCTTCGGTTGGAGAGTTTCTGGCACATAAAGGTTAACAGATGTTTCCACAAATTAAATTTCATTTTATTGGCATAGTTTTGATTTTGAATCTTTGATTTGCTTTGCAGGCGAGACTCCACAGAACAATGGCCATAATTTATCCATCGGTCCCAGTATGCTTGTAAAGAGCAAATATAATGCAAGCCACGATTTGAATTATTCCCACAGCGCTCTTCAGAATGTTTAACAATCCCGATTTCTTTATTATAGCCTGGTGTTTTCATTTTTGCACGTCCGCTGGCAAATCTCATTACGTATACGCAACGTTGGACTCGACGGAACGCATGTTTCCTGCATATTTTATCCACGCCAAGGGCGAAGGCGCTGCGAGTGGGTACACGGAACTTGACCACAAATTAAGCTCCATTTGAAAGGCTCCCAGCTGCCAGGATGTGCATGTGGTTGCGGTCAAGTCACGCGTGCCCCTGTCTTTCGTTTTCGCTTTCCCTACGTGCCACCTCCGTTTACAGATGTATTATGGTTTTTTGCATCTCCATCTCCTTCAACCAGAACAAGCTCATTCTAATTAGCCAGTAATTGTGTAAAAACTCGTGCTTGTGGGCAAAGCTTTAGGGCCAATGAAAGCATATTCAAATTACGCGAAAAAGTACGCAAAAAACTCATTTGGATGACATTTTCTATTTTGTCAGCCACTAGATTACATCACTGCAGCTGCCATTTTTACATTTTTGTCATTTTTTCTCATTACTCAGCATCGTCTTCGTGCATTTATGCAAATTCTGTGAGAATTCTCGTTTAAAATTCCCCTTTTGATTACATTTGGCCTGGCTTTGTTGGGATTTTTTCGTCCCTACAAAAATGCATACATTTAACTTGGCCAATTTCCCCAGCGAAAATCTAGCGTTCGCCTGCGGGCCAAGTTTGCCCACTTTTCCGGGGCAAATATTTTCCAAAGAGACCGGGACGGAAGGATGAGATGCGGCGGGGGGTTCGCGTTAATTCGTTAAGCCTAATTGAAGTTAGGCCAAGATAAGCATTTGGCAAAGAGACCCGGAACTGTAAAGAAGAACCAACCTATGGCATGTGCTATTTCATAAAATTACGCACACACGGCGTATACGTAACGTGACCTAAGCGAAAGGCACGTGCCGTTCGCCGTCGTTGCATTTATGTTTATTTATAAAATATTTAAAAATATCTACAAGACGTGTAAATAGCCGTATAAGCCCAACAACCAACATCAGTTGTGCTGTGACATTTTCAGGGGCGGGGGCTGTTTTTCCAGGACAAGAGGTCCGACTAGCTTAGCTGTGCTTTGCAGTTTCCCTGGTCAGTAATTAACCTGCTCTGGGGCATGCCACTCAAAGAAATTATCTAACTTTTCAAGATCAAAAAGATATTTTAGGTTGAGCTTTCTAGGTTCTAGTTAGTCGTTGGGTTTGATACTTTTCAGTTTCTTGAATGCATTCTTTTATATATACTCTTTAATAGTATTTAGATTTATTTTTCTTTGTGTAAACCCTTTTTTTTGGGTGCTCTGAGGCTTTTCTCGTGTCCTCGGGCATGCAACACATGTTAAAAGCCGATCACGTAGCCTGCGTGTCCTGTCAGAGGACCGCATAAGTCCAAAATCTAAGCCTCAGTGTCTGAAAAGTTGTCAGCAAGCGACATGCATGTTGCTTTTTTCAGCCTGTTCGTCCTGCTTTCCTTTAGCTATCTGTTAGATGTCCTGCCTGCTGGCGAGGCATACAAATTGAGTTTGTGTTTCTTTCGGGGCGAAATGTCACTGCTTCTGTGGGCCCTTGCATATGCATTTCCGGCGACAGAAAGGGCAGGACATGGCAGGGCCGGGATGGAGGGCAGGATTGGCACACACCTTGCTGGATGTGTGCCCAGGGATTTGCATGTCCACATCCTGAGGCAATCGGTCATGTGGCACTGATTGACTGACTAGCACGCTGCCAGTTTTTTGCTCTTAATTTTTCAGCCACTATACGTGGCTCTTGTTGGTTTTCCCACCCAAGTCTCTGGGCATACGAATTTAATTTTGTATTTTCATTTTTTTTATAAACTTATTGGCAGCCTCCAATCAATGAAATCCCCATAGTGCATGCATCAAATGAAATCAACCAAGAGGCTGGAACTTTTCACCTGGCCTTCGTTCTGCTTTTATGGCAAATATTGAGAGTGTTGCCACAACAACAACGCAAAACTGCAGCATACGTGTATCACTTTTGTGTATCCGAGATGGAGGGGAGATGGGCATCCAACGCTCTTGACCCACATTCTCACAACAATGCAAATTTATATTAAAAAAAAATATGGAAAATAAAAACAAAGCTGAGCTATGAAATGCGACAATGTGCTCGGAAGCGGGAGTGTCCGTGTGGGTGTGAGTTCCATTAGCGAAAGTGCAAATCTGTGACGTGTGCTTAGTAATTGTGTCTGAAATAATAAACAAGAGGTGTCCCAGACACGCACATAATGAGACCCGTTAAAAGGTAGGAAAAGCTTAGATATTTAGTTAGCCAGATGAGAAACGACAAATACCCTACAAAAACCAAATAGGAAAAATCTAAAAAAATGTTATTGAATTATAATAGTTTACTAAAATCTAAGTAAAATTAATAAACTTTCTTGCAGAGTACACTCCTTGAGAACATATTACACCAGAACCGGCGTTTGTCACTGTCAGAGAGAGCTGTCATAATTAGGTTGTTAAGTCCTACTCGTAAATCTCCATTTTAATTACACACTACTCGGCCGAATACCAACAGCTGGCGCTCGTGACTCCATTTTGATTTAAATTTTACAAAATGGCCGATCCAAATGGTAAACAACACTCATGGCGCTTTTTGCGTTTCCTATTTTTGTGGGCATTTTCAAATAACGACAAATTGTGACAAATGAAGCACGATAATAAGCCGCTAAATGGAATTTTTAGGCCAACGGTTCTCCCAACCAAAAGTGGAAGTTTTGCGGTTGCCAAGATTTTGTCATTTCGTTTTTGGCCATCTACTTTTTGCTTCTTGGTTGTGACCCAACAACCGTAAAGACTAAGCCCATTTTTCAATTTCCGGCAGAACAAAGTCTTGTGGTTTGTTCACCGTTCTGCTTAGTTTTTCGGTTTACTTTTGGTTTTCGTTTGGTCCTGGTTTCCTACCATTTCCATTGGCTTCTTATTGGAGCAAATAAATCTCCTGGAAGGACAAACAGTCACCCGTTAAGACCGACTTATTGGGATTGGTTTCTCTCCTGGCCGGTTCTCTAGATTTTGTGCAAATTTGCCTGAGACTGTCGCAAACAAAGTCTAAATAGCATTTTCAATTTATTTTGGTCGAGCATGAGCTGCCAACGAATAATTTCACCAGATGAGACCGGCACTACGGCACTTTGCTAGAGGAAATGCAAACAAAACTTTAATTAATATTAATCCCTAGTACAAAGGCTGATATGGCTTATGGCGCAATATGGTCCATCCGGGCAATAAAACTCATTTAAAAGTTGGCTTAATTTTACGTTAATCCCAGGGACAATTAAGTGAATTAATGCTGGGCACTAATTATGTCGGGGGATCGAAAATTAAAATAAATAATGCACTTGTGAATTCGAGAAATGTTTACCTATTAATTTGAATTTACACCAAAGTTTGTGTGAGTCGTATTAGGAGCTTATAAATTGTTGAAATCAAGCCTTGGGCGTTGAGTTTCTTGCCTCGCCAAGCAAAACAAGCAATTAAATATTAACCAGGACAACTCTATGGGACCTTAATAAACAAGTTGGACAAAGGAGACGGCTTTGGAATTTCACGAATAGGTGCTAACATTGTTGAAATATTTAAAAAGGACTATGTGTTTGGCTTTAATAGAAGGTAACCTTTTCTTGTAGTATATACCTACTCCCATATTGTGACCAGTGGGCTATATAAATTAGACCAGTTTCTTGTCTTCCATATATAGAAACGTGGGTGATTTCCTGTTTTTTTTTTGGCCAAGAAAAAATCGCCAATTCAGCGGCAGAACATTGTTTTAGCCTGCTTGCTGCTTATTGCGTGTTTCATGTCAATGTTGTCGTTTCTTCTACTTTTTTTCTGTTTTTTGTCGCATGTTTTCTGGATCCGCCTTTTTGTTCGTGCAACAACAGCAAGAGCACTTAACATTATACTTAAATGGCTTGGCCTGACATTGGCCATGTTTTTGTTGCCTTTTTTTGTGTGTGTTTTTTTTTTGTGGGTCTCCTGGCGGTGTAAATGGAATTACAAGCTTGCTTAAAACCGAAAATCCAATTAGGAGAACGCGTTCTGCTGCTGTTTTATCGCAGTTTGTGATGTAGTTGCTGTTGCTGCTGTTCATGCTTTTGTTTGCCGACAACCAGGCTCCTTGGGAACTAACAGCAACATCACGAAAAGGTCTTTTAAAATGTATCATAAATTTTGGTCATCATTTTCATTTTATTTATTTGTAAGGCTGTTCTGCAAGTTGGCAGAGTAAACTTAATGGCCGGTTTTGGTGAGTGTCAAACAAACAGATGCTAAAATTGCCTTAAATTAATATTAATAAACTACATATCGGAAAACCAAGATACCATCTAATTTTGTTCCAACAAAGCATTTATTTCAAATATCAAATTACCAAAAATTAAACAAAACCAAAGCCGAATGCATACTCATAATTTATCATAATCGAATAGAATCCGCCAACAATTAACGCAGACAACAATCCGGATGCAGTTCAATTACCATGTCATGGGACTGGTGTGGGTGGCGAAATGTTAGAGGATTTGGATGCAGCACCATAAACAATAATTAGTGCGGGAGGATACGATTATGGCCAACAGAATTGGGGCCACCACACACACAACATGGGACACAAACAAACTGGTCAAAAGGCCAAAATGCGTAGGTAATGTGTGTGTTGGCTTGTGTTTGCGAACAAAGACAACGGCTGTAAGTCAATTCGTAGCAAGGCCGCAAACGTTTGGCCAAAATGCGAGTGTGCACACAAGAAAATATCCTTTAAATGGCTTTCGATTTTGCATGTTCACATGCAGAATACCACTGCCGCTGCCACTGCCTGCGTACGTGCTGGTGTGTGCCCTCATTTGCATACGAAATGGGCCAAAATCGCAGTTTTGGGCTCAGAAATTGCTTTTGCTTGGCCATTTTTGCCATTTGTTTGTGGTTCAGAACGTACGCGCCCAAGCGCTGCTAAAAACAAAGTTCTTTATGGGGGCTCTTGCTTTTATTGTTGTAAGTATTTGCTTTTAAAATTTGCAATATGCTCGCTTCAACTTTACAACTAGGCCAACACCATTAGCATGTCGTTGTTGGAGGCCTCCATGCGATAACAGTGAATAATGATGAAGCTCCTCCAACTACTTGGACACACCATGGGGTGTCTGTTTAAAAATTGGACTGAGGCATGAGCGTGTGAAGTTCCTAGAAGTGGAACAAATTGCAGGTCTTTCTGGTCAAGGACTTGCTTAAAGACTTAAAGTACGAGTCTGTTATTGATGTGGAAACACAAAAACCTCTAGAGATACCTAGACTGATTATGATTTATTCGGTCAACCTTTTCGAATTAACTTTGCCTTTGTGCAACCCATTCTCGCCACTTCCTTTCAACGCCTCTAATTGAGTATGTAGCCTTTGGGCTACAAAGCCAAAGGACTCTTCTCCTTCGTCTTTGAGCTAGCAGCCGAGTCTAATTAGCCGTCGCACAAATGCACAAGTATGTATGAATGGGCCGGCACACATGCCATATGCGATATTGTAAGAAGGCTATGCCTTTCGAGACTGGGCCCAGTGCCATAATTAAGCCACTGGAGTGAATGAGAAGAGGCTGCAGAGATAGGAAAAAGTGGAGGGGGCTCACACGTGAGCTTTTTGCAGACAACGGCTGAGAATCTCTAATGCGGTTGCGTATACGCCCCGTTGACAGCCTCTGACTTTTTAATGAGCCGGGGACCGCTTCCTCCTCTGGCTTCTACTGACTAGTGTGCCCTCGACTCATTGTGCCCTAGGCAAATTATAGCTGAAAACTGTCAGCGCCCGTAACATCTTAATAGGGTTAAGCTGATGCTGTTGGGCTTGCCACCAAGCGCCATTCGCTTAAAATTTTCATTATTTATGAGCGTTACGAATTTGTTAAGGCTGGCGATTAAATAACCAATGGCTGACACCGCCACCAGTAATCCTGCCTTCGCTGGCGTTCAAAGTTTCATCGCACAAAGGCATAGCTTCCGAGCCCCCCAGGCTCCAGTCCATCATGCGCAGGCACAGAAACCAAACTTTTGCCACTGCCAAGTGACAAATATTTTTGTTGCCTCCCAGCACAAAATATATACATATATACTTATACATTGCGTAACACGGAAAGTTTGCACTGAGGTTGGGATGTAATTTGAGCTTGTAGTCCCAACTGGAAGTCGAAATTGTCGTGGGTGTTTGCCCAAAAAACCCGTCGCGTTGATTCGACGACAATGTGTGCAAGGGAATCCCAAACCGAAAACTCGAAGGGATCAGATGCTGTTGCAGGAGCATCCGAAACTGGGAAACTCCAAAGAAGATTTGCAAGAAAGTTTGGTCTCAAGAGTTTGCTTTTGTACCTTTAACACCTCGGTTACACTTAAACCATTTTGTCAGTTTTTGTTTAAAATTAAAGCCAATTCCCAATAAATCATGGATAAAGGCCAACAGATCAGTCACAAAAGACATCTCAACCTTTTGTGATTGTCCTTTGAAACATGTGAAAGGACCACACCACTCACCCTTGTCATTTGGATCGAATTCAGCCTCGAGCTCGGCTTTGGTTGGCTCTAAAGATGCGGCTGCTCCGGCGGCATCGGCCGATGGAGCTGCTCCGGTGGCAGTGCCATTGTTGGTCGCGGTTTTGGTTTCCGATTTTTTCATGGTTTCTCTTACTTTGTGGCCTCGATAGACGGCTTGGATTTTTGTTGCGGCTTTTGCTGTAATTAAAAGTGGAAAGAAAAGAACAAGAGAATTTATTCATAAATTGGTTTAGAAAAAAAGTTTTAATAAGTTTGTTTTGTATATTTTTGTTAAAATGAAATATTTCAAATAAGTTCAAGTCCAATCCAATTAAATGCTTATGTTTTTAATTTTAATATACAAACCATTATGTGATAAGTTTTTAATGAAATTATTTCTTGCCCGAAAGTTCACACTGCGTATGAGTAATTTTATGGGCACTTGAAAACTTGCTATTCCATATTTTCTTGTACGGTTTCCATTCGAAACTTGTGTGAATAGATGAAAATGGGGTTTATTATGGCAAGGCTATCATGTGTTTTGAACTTTCATGTCGGATAAACTTTCCTGCCTTGGCACATCATCGACAGTTCGTAAAACTTCGGTTGCAGCTTTCAAGCAATTAACTTCAAAGGGGTTGTCATGCATCGGACCTTGCCATTTTTTGTTGTTGTTGAGGAATTTATCCGACCCCCGCAGGCGACTCAATCGATTTTGAATTGAACTGAGCAAATTCTTGGAATTTTTTGGCCACTTGCCAAAAAAGAAGACCAGGCAGGCAAAGAGCTAATAAACTTCAAGCGCAAGTTTGGTAAGAAGGAAGAGACCAACACCGAAAGGAGCAAAGGACTTGCCCAAAGCGGCAAAGAGGACCCCCAAAAAGGCTATGTGCAATAAACAGAAATATATCGAGCATGTTCCTGCTCCCCAAAATGTTGTGTTTGTGTGGGCTGCCTGGGTCAGCATTCATTTTTATGGCATTTTTCACGCAGATACCGAAGAAAAAAAGCGGCCGGCCTTGAATAAGTTATAATAAATTGACACGTAAGGCTTTTCGGTATTCGGTGTTCCTGCCAAACACTATCAATAAGTAGAACTGTAGCCGAAAGAGAAACCGTTTCTAAAAAATAGTTGTTTGTGCTTGGCACAAGGTTGTCCCACCCAATCCGGTGGGCGGTTGTGTCGGTGGGTGGCTAGGTGGGCCGATAAGTGCTGGCACAGGGCGTGGCAAGGTTGCCGCTGTCAAGTGGCGAGTGCTATGCTTTTAATAGCTGCCCACTGCCGACTAGAGTGCTCTATGGCTATGGCTATTAAATCATCGACTATCCCGTATCAAGATGCGAACTAAACGGCATTGAGTCCTAGTTACGCTTTAAGGATTATTTGGATTTTTTAACTGGGTTTTCCTCTACTTTTTTTTTATCAAAATCCCTCGGCGTGGCCAGAAATCAAATAAAAGAATATTAGATGTTTGCCTAAAGGGATTTGGGCTTCGTATGCATTCCAAATGAAGGATATCTCTTCGATTTTTATGAAAAGTCCATAAAAATATGTTGTTTTCATATCGCAGTATAAGTTCAAATAAAAATTCGACAGAAAAAATGCAAATTTGACGCCAATATGGGATTTATTACACAAACATCTGTTCAATATACATAAATTACCATGGTCTATGAGTTTTAAAGTAGACGTTGAAGTACAAAAAATTTCTTAAAACTTGCATTCTTTATTTATGTTATTTAGTTCCCAGGGAACAGCATAAAACATCAATAAATTATAATTATAAACTAACAGCATAAAATGAGAATTTATATAGCATACTTCTAATGACCCCGGGTTTTTAGTATGACTATAAAATGGAGTGAATTATGCGAGGCAAGGTTATTAAATAAATTTTGCATGCGGCTCATTAAACCTGACAGCCGCAGAGAAATAAATGCGAGCCGCAACACTAACGCCCCGAAAAACAAATGAGGGAAAGGTGAGAGTTTCAGCCCTGACACTCAAATGGGAACAAAAATTGAATAAGCACGAGTGAGGATTGGGAGGATCATTCGCACCTGCCACCTCTCCCCCAGAGAGGTATTAAGTGCCTGACACTAAACGCAACACGCACCCAATTACCCATGTCGTACTCCCAATATACGATGGTGCCAGGAACAGGGTCTGCACGTGGCAAGTCATCCAGCTACCTCCTTAATTCATTCATAATTCGCCATTTGCCAGGCCATAACCCCAAAAGGCATTTCCGCTTCCGTCAGGAAAAATATGATTAAATTTGTCAGGATCCTGATTCCTAAAGAACTTTCTGGCCAAGTAAGTAATTCAAATTCATCATCTGAGGGCTCTTATTCCGGTTGGTTTTTGTTCTACTTGACATTTGTGGTTTATTCAGTTTATGCTTTTACTAATTCAATCGCACAGAAGTGAGTCATTTTTCGGATAGTTACTACATTTAAGGATATTCCGCTTAAAACTAGAACCACGTTGACTTCCATGCCATTTCAACGCCCACGAAGCCAAGCTGTCCTGAATCACTGAATTGCCTGCAGCAAATTACGTGCAATTTATTATTTTAATTAAATTGTTGGTTGTCAGCCGCTGCTTGGTGCAATTTTATTTGAATTTTACTTGGCATTAAAACGTACACTCAGGTGGCCCAGTTTCCTCCAAAAAAAAAGGAGAAATATTTATAAAAATGAAACCAACAAAAAAGAATGGTAGCTGGAGGGTGAACACAATGCCTGGAGAATATTAAAACGAATGAGTTATGCACGAGACCAGAGACAGAAGACCTAAAAGGAAAAACTTGGCCCAGCTGTGTCTTGGCCTTAGCGTCTTGGCCATAAACTGTGCGCTCAGTCGGGCCAGAAGTTAAATAAATAAACAAAACAGCAAACAGTGAACAGCAGGAAGCTACCAGATATCCGGATATCATCTTATTTAAGCAGGACGATTTCATTTATTAAGACTTCCTGTTCCTAGAAGGAGCTGTTGTGGAAAACAAAGGACATTAAAAGCAAGATTCGAAAATTTTAAAGACAATCCGAAGAGTAAAGTCTGAGTTTTCTTTTCAACGCCCTTAACCTTTTTATGTTAAAAGCTTTCAAAAAAGCCTGTGCAAAAATTGATTTTTTTTTAGCTCTAGTGTCTTTAAATAAATACTAGCAGCCCCGAAGAGTGCTTTTCTGGATTTTCCTTAACCCACATGTCTCATTAACGAAACCTCCTGTCACTTTTCCTTCACCCTTGACAGCCATTTAAGCCTGACAATGTCCATTAAATGTTCATATATTGTTTTGGCCAACTTTTCCCATACACTTACACACTCCCATTCACTTAGCCAGCTACTTAGGTCCTGCCAACACCTGAAGGGCGCCAGAGATATTACACATTTGACATATTTTTGTGGCAAATTAATAGCACACAAATAAACTTATTTATTTATGAGTTATCCTGGCTGGGCCAGGCCTGGCCGAGAGTAATTCTACTGCTATCTATTTGGTACTCGACGTTTTGTGCTGCCATAAATTATTTGTTTGAGTTATTTTATTTATTTCCGTGACTGTTTGGTATACGGTTACCATGTCGTTTGTCGGTCTAGTTCCAGTGAGCGTGTTAAATTTAGTCAGACTGTGTTTTGTCCATGACCTTGGGTGATTAGAGTTTTGTTAAAAAAAAAAAAACTGAAATCAAGCGAGGCGCGGGGGTGGCAGCTCACGGAATGTTTGTCGCACGTGCTGCGGCAGCCACAAAACTGAATGAATTGGAATGGAATGCCAACTACTCTGATAAATTGTAGATACTACCGAGCACAGAAACATTTGTGGCTTATCGATTAGGGCTGTGAAACCTTTTTCTGGCCTTAATATAAAGTTGCTATTCGAGCTTATGTTGTACGGTCTCCAGCTAATTGTTGGAGCTTAGCTGGGCCAAATTATGTGCAGAGCCCTGCGGTAGAATCGTCTCATAAATTACAGACTCTTATCTGAGTTAAATGTGACTTACCAACACTCACTGGCACTCGCAATCAGATCGCCCATAATGAACAGGCTTTGCATAATTAAACTCAGGCAGACCACATTTTTCTATAATGGACATGCTGGCAAAATGGAAAATAAGGGAAGCACACAGTGCACAACAAAAAAAAGGGGGGCTGGTTTAATTGAGGGAAATGAAAGGGTAAACATTATTCATGTGTGCGGGCATTTCGATAAAAACCAATTTAAATTAAATTCTATTATAAGTGATTCTTACTTTGGTATTGGGTTGGCAATGCATATTTCAAATTGAATTTATATTCTTTGCAAGTTATGAGCTTATCTATAAAAAAAAAACTTTATCCAATGAAGGACACACATAATTGATTTTTATATCCTGCAACGGACAGATAGTGAAATTCATTTTGGTCTAGCAATTAATTTAAATGCGATTGTAAATCCATCTGCAGAAACTTTTTGAAAGTTACGCATACGCCCCATAGGCCCGATGGAATAACTATTTTGTATGCAAGACGGCGCTTTCTGAAAAATTATGAAGACGAGAAAGACCAATTGGGAATTCGTCGATATGCTATCCGTTGGTCACGTTCTACTTTAGAGAATGAAAAAATAAATAATGCCATTATGTTGACAATTTGCCTACGTGAGCCAACAGGGACTTTGTTAACTATTTGTTAAATAAACTTTGCATTTTGTTTACTATTTATTGTCCCTGTAATTTAATTCTTTCCATATGCAATGTTTAAAATTGAGAGCTTTTACTGCATAGAGCGCCGGAAGTGTTCAGCTGTGTTTGTGTTTTATTTTCGCTTTTTGCTTACTTTTCCATTAGCATTTTCCGGTTTCTGTTTATAAACCCGCCACGTAGTATACACACACAAAAGTCATCCAGCGTATGTAATATTTATTATTAAAATTCTACTCAAAATTCGTAGAAACTTTTGGCGCAACAAAATTAAAACAGCCAAAAAGTTTCCCATCAAAAACTATGGGAAAATTCATTCCATTTCCAAAGAAAGAGTTTCCACAAAAGTATGTAGCCACAGTCAGGGCCGAGTATCCTACCCGGGACCTTCAACAACTCTTTACAATTATTAATAAAAAATCTACTTTCATGGGGAAACTGTTTTCCTCCAATTTCTATCTTTCTGCATCCTGTCCAGCGTTTTCTGCACTGGGTCCTCCGAATTGGTCTC